AGACACAACACTTATTAGAGGAAATTCGGCACCCTCTCACACGCACGCTATCACACAAACATTTCAACTTAATAGAGTCTCCGGGTATAGAGTTGCATTTGGTAAAAAACGGCGGAAAAATAACAATACATCCGACGAACTTTGGAGCCGTAACAGTACAATGGGTATACTTTACTGATATGCGAAAACCTGCATCCAGTTCTGTATTTACATGGCATTCAAGATGTATGCTCTCAGGCCTGAAGTCAGGGCATCTCGACAGTTCTGCAAACGCACCAACAATCGTGACTGCTTTAATTGTTGATTTGTATGCTCCTACGTCAACAATTATGATGGGTTATTTTGTTAAAAATGAAACTGGTAGAGCAACTTGTGACAAATGAAATTGTAAAGGAAGATAAATTTACTAAAACGTAGCCAGTGAGTCGTAAAAGATATGAAGATTTTTTTTTTGTTCACTGTCTGTATAGTGGGACTAACGATTAATGAATCAATCACATGTGGATATTTTTAAAGAAAATTAATACAATGTAACATGTTTTTGAGATACATATACAAGTGGCAGATGTCAAAAGCAGCAAATGTCACAAGACTTGTTTTATCTATGCATGCATTGGTCTTGATGTCAACATTAGTTGAAACAAACAATTGTTATTGAATGCTTCAGAAAAGGCTTTAATGAGATACATTAAAGTTTCTGAAATTATGATATATATGACACATATTCCGAGAAGAGCTGAAACATTTACAACATTTTGTAAGATTTCAGAGGATCTTAGAGAAAATCATCTACATTTGTAAGGGTAATATGTTTTCGCTCAAACGGAGAAAAATATGCTTCCTCCTTTATTGCTGAATGGCATAAGGCCGCCAAAACTGAAGTTTCGAGTGGGTGAGTTTGGTTTGAGGCCTCTTGCATGAGCAAATTTTCAGCAGGATGTTTGGTGTAGTTGCAATGCCGAAAAATAGTAGACTGTCTCACAGTCTCTGAGCCGCATCATTTTCCCTTCCGCTCAGCCCTTTCTGCAATGCTAAGTAAAACAAGTCTAGATTTCCTCAGGTTCAGGAAGCTCCCATCTCACTTGGGCTCCTTTTCATGTTCAAAGGATTATTTGTTTCCGTCACAATTATACATATTCAGAGACTAAGCGTTAGTCTAAGGCCTTAGATGTTTCTGTCTCAGGTGAAAACAAGGTGATACGGGGACATCATGTTAAGAGACATGATCAGTGCGAACTCGAACCCGAGATAGAATCCTGCACGACAGAGGGGAAGCTATATACATGTCTAATTATTTTCTTTTAAAAAGTAGGGGAACTTTAACTTTCATTTTGGATAGGAAGTATAAGCCTTAACAAACTTTTCAAAGACAGGCATCTTATGAACGCACCACCATTTCTCTTTATCACCACCCCTAAACACAACGTATAGATTCACGTGTACAACACAGTAGCCCCCATATGCATGGGGTGTCATTCTTGATTTTGACAGCTTTCAAAAATGTCGATAAATCACTGTAGACCGTTAATTTTGACAATCATCTTGAATCACACAGTTGTTAGTGTGTGTTTCTAGTCGGATTTTTTTATATTGAAACTGAAAATCGTACACATGCAAATTTCACGTCATGCACCAATCATCTTTCAAGAGCTATTACTGTACAAACAACTATGGTCATAAGGAAGTGCAAGTGGTGATGCACTCTCAACACATTCATTATTATCATATCAGCATTGATTGACTCCGATATATCTCCAAATTCTTTTCAATTGTAAATTAAAAATGAACTTCCCCTACTTGTTTTGAAGAGTATATATATCTGAGCCACCCGTGTCCCGTGTGACAAGTTGCGTGGCTCCGTGAACCCATGTCCTTGACGTCACTCAACCATGTAACTCTCCATAAACACTTGAGGCTGACTGAACTAAATTTGACCCCCATCCGATGAGGTCACCGTCTCGCTTTGTACCTGAAGTGTACCTGTACTTTCATTTTTATGTTAATACATTCAAAAACAGTAATGGACGTTTACCCTGAAGATCCTGGGGCGTTTGATGATATGAGTATGCGGTACGAAAAGAGGCAGCTTAAACTGAATCAGGGCAGCCGTCTGGGAAACACGCATTAAAAGTGAGTGAGTGAGTATGGTTTTGATGCCGCGTTTAGCAATATTCCAGCAACGTCACGGCGAAATGGGCTTCACACATTGTACCCTTGTCGGGAGTCGAACCCGAGTCTTCAGTTTGACGAGCGGACGCTTTAACCATTAGGCTACCCCACCGCCCCTAATTCAAAAGACAAATTTCCATGTAATCAAGGCATACATAACTGAACTGCCATTATGTATTTGATGCCAATCTCCATTCTTAACACTCATTGTATACTGAAAAAAACATTGCTCGCATCACGCTCTCAGTTCCAGGTATTATTGTTATTTATATTATGACATTTATAACCTTAATGGCTTATACCCTTGCCTTGTCAGTCCAATGTCAGGTTATCTATTTCACAAAATTATAAATATATAGAACCACAAAAGAAACGTTACCTTTCAAAACCAAATGCAAGATTTTGTGTTTTTAAAATGATTGTATCCTTTTGTTAACATGTGTTTCAATCAAAAATTGACAGTTATTACCAACATCAATGTGTTTTCTGATGAAAAAGCATATCGACCATATACACCGAAAAAGGCAGACGCAAAACGTTCCGTATGGCATTTGTGAAAATGAAAATGCACGCGCATATCGTGACAACCATATTGGGACGATTGCAAGTTGTCCAGACTGCACGGTGGGTAGCCAATCATTTTAATGTTCCTGGCAATCTATCGACTGCAGGAGTGGCATCAGGTCACTAACAGCATCCAAGACCGTCCACGCAGTGCCGATACAGTGCGTCGACGTTTGCGCGGATGAAACCTCTGCTATCACAGATCATATCGTAATCCTGTCCTCACCGCCCAAACCGACTGCAATGGGCAACTCAGCATCGAAATTTGCGTTATCGACAATAGAGAACTGTGCTATTTTCTCATGAAAGCCGATACTGTGTTTCGACAGTCGATGGCAGAGTAAGAATATGGGGAAGGCGTGGGGAACTGTTTTCCAATGAGTGAATTGTTGAAAGAGACTCGTGGGGTGGTCCAACCATCATGGAGTGGGGTGCAATCGGTCTGAACGAGATAGTTAGCACCGTGGTGTTCCAGAATCTCGGTCCAGGATGAGGAAATGACGTGACAGCTGCTCGCTATATTGACCAAATCACAAGACTCCACGTTGTACCACATTTTGGACGTTACAGAAATTACATCTTCCAGCAAGACAACGCTCGTGCCAGAGCAACATTGGACTTCCTAAGACAACATGGCATCCAAACCCTACAATAACCTGCACTCAGTCCGGATTTGAGTCCAATAGAACACCTTTGGGACGAACTTCAAAGACGACTGAATGACCTCCAACCAAGGCCGACCACTGTTGCTGGACTCGATCAGGCATTTCGCAGAGTATGGACCCAAGTGCCTATGGCCTTCATCAACCGGCTAATTCATTCCATGTACAGACGATTCACCGCTTTCATCCATGCCCATGGAGGCCACACACAATACACTTTGGGGTATCTTAGTGGTACCATTTTTGGTGATTTTGTTTGTGTGAACTGTAAATATGATTCCCGAATGTGCTTTAAGAAACCGCTATCGGTGCGATATCTCTTTTGTGGTTTAGTATATATTTGCACCCATGCTGCAAGTCTGGTAGTATAGTTGATTGTATAACTAACTAAAGAAGTGTGGAGGCAAACTACTCTTCGTCTTCATTCTGAATTAGATCCCTGTCGACATATACGCGTTGATACTTCTAAGGGAGCTGAGAGCGCAGCAATGTAGGGCATGGATATACATGTACGACAAAATAGAACTATATATCTTGCTGTTACTAACGTAGTTGCTACGGATCATTTTGAAGATTTTAACCTTGGAGAATGAAAATTGTTTTACTGGGTATTTCTTGAACATCGAGACGGGTGGCACATTAGGTTCAGTTCTTTCCACCTTGTTTCCTTGACCGTCTGTTCGAATGCTAGACCTGTTGTGATTTTGATGTCAGCGTCCAACCCATTCTGACGGAGTTCACACACAGCGTGGGTGCTGGGAGCTGTCTATACAATTCATCGCCTGAAACCTATGGTCGCGAGTTCGAATCATTTTTCTTGTCTTGTAGGCTGAACCAGTTCGTAGACGCGGTGGATTCGTAGCCCAGACTGATTCGTAGACGGTGATTTCGTAGACGTGTATAAATAATTGAATAATAGTATTTCGTAAACATATTAAGTTTGATAATCACTTGGATTGTGTGCAACGAAGTTGTAATGCTTTGTTTCCCCAGTGTACTAACGTCTACGAATCCACTGGATTTCCACGTCTACGAACCAGTCTGGTCTACGAAGTCACCTACAGCTCATGTTTGTCACCGAACTGTAAATGTCTTAGACCTGTAACCCTTCACTCCGAGACAACGTGATATATTTGGAAAACCTTTTTTCCCCGTCTCTCTCTCATACTTCCGTTTAAAGCAATATCCAGAACGAAGATATTAAAAACATAATGTGGCATTCAGTATTTGCAAGTGAACATGATGTCGTTTAGCAATATCCTTAAACAAAACAAAACTGAAGACAAACAATCTAGCTCGTTTTATCTATTATGCATACAAAATAAGAGAAAAGTTAGCAAATTAGAAATAGGTATTAGAATTATAAAAGTTCTACAGCTATACAGATATATGTTACTGATATTTTTCACAGGGGGTGTAAGATAATCTACACAGGTAGACAGGCAAATGCTATATTGTTAAAGAATTGTTTCATACCTGTTAAGAATATGTATATTAATATGTATATGGGCCTGTGGCCTTCATACGTAATAATTTTTTTGATGATGATGATGATGATGATGATATAAGATATAAGCTAGAATCTATTTAAAAAACAATAGATTCTTTGGTGTGTATCATAGGTGTTGCCGCGCACAGACAGCCTTTCCCCAGTCTTTATGAAACGACTGTAAAGTCATTACTCTCCATAACGGTGTTGTCATTCTTGTTTGAGAAGAAACATCAACAGATAGCCACAGGGTTCATCGAACCATCAACAAGCAGTATTCACCAGTGTTCAGCGAGACCATGAAATAATCTGGATTAGTGAGATGTTCACATAGTTTCCACAATCAGTCATTGGACCCTTCAGGTTCGAAATAGACGAGTCTACCGATGCCATAGACACAAACACATGCAAAGACAAGTAAACGTTCTGAACAAAGATGGAGACATACAGGACAACTCAAAATTTTACCGATGCATCAAATTTGGAAATGTGCAGCGCATGTTAGTCATTGAACCTACTGAAAGCTGTATAACACATATTCTATAGCCCAAACATTCTCTCAGTCGCGCTAGATATGTATGGGAAAGTAAAGGAGAAAACTTAACTGCATGAGTAATAGAAAACCACAGTTAAGGGAACCTGAGACCCACATGGATGAACTTAGTGCTCCTTCAGTCAAGGCCATACCTCCGCATCTATTCTGGCGCCCATTGTCTGTTTGAAAGCAAGTCGTCGGGTAGCTTTAGCTAATAACAGCAATGAAACCACTCACGTCTCACTTCAACAAACATGACCTCCTCGTCGCTCTAAAAACTGCCATTGGTTAGTAAACATACTGAAACTGATCAACGGATGCCAGCATCACATTTCTTGTCCTGCACATGTTGCTGTGACTGAGTATAATACAGAATATATATGTTTATATTTCCCAGCATCAACACAGTACATGCATACGTGTGTGAGCTAAGGTTATGTTTACATGTCTCTAGACTTGCACACGTCGCTAAGGTAATAATATACTGAGGGGAAAATATAAGGGATTACATGAAAGCACAAGTGTTCCTTTATTTTTTGCCAGGTTTCTTCACAAGCTATCCGATACAAAGCTTGTGAAGAAACCTGGAAAGAAATAAAGGAACACTTGTACTTTCATGTGATCCCTTATTTTTGCCCTCAGTATAGATAGTGTAAATCATAATTTCGAAATATATATATAGACCTCGAACTGACTGGCGTCCTTAGACGTGCTGTTCCCTTATCTAGACTTCCTCTTTAAAGGATAGAATTACTATAGACCCATGGGCTTAGTCTTCAGTACAGCCTTGGAGCAAGGCTAACATTTCTCGTACAGTGGCATTTACATTGTATGTGGTTATATTTTTTGTCGAAATGGTTTACCTTGTCGAAAAGGACAAAACATGGTGAAAAGGAATGAATATGACAAAATATTCATTAATCGCTGAAAATCATGTGATGTCTTAATGGTAGTCTGTCCCTGGCCCACATTATTTTCCCTACTGCCTAGCCTTCCCTGCAATGCTCAAACTCTAAATGAAGCAAGTGTAGTTTTCCTCAGGTTCAGGAATCTCCCAACTCACCGGGGCTCCTTTTCAATTTAAATGTGTTTCTTTGTTACTATCAAAATTATATGCATTCTGGGACGAAGCGTTAGTCTACCCTACCTGTAGCTTTCTAAATATGATTGCTTTTTTTTCGAAAATAGAAATATTGTCAAACAAGCAATTCCAAACTTAAAGGGGTACATCAACATCACAATATACAAGCGTGTCAAGGAAAGAGCCAACAAGCATCTTCTTGTTGAAAACAGTTGCAACAGTTGACGCAGATATCAGGTTTCCGTCATCAATGAACAATTCTGTCACAGAAGATACAGATCCATCCTTCAGTTTTATCTGCAGGACCTGAAAGAACGAGGAAATACTGCAATACACATCACAGTTACAGAGATGCAACCATCAAGTGGATGGATTACCGTGAAGTTATATTCATCATATTCAGTATGCGTTATATTTATTAAGTGAATTAGATTTTACGCCGATTTGAACCTTATTTCAGTTTCCTCAATCATGAATATATACTCATGCCAATAATGGTTGTCACCCCCTTCAATTTGTTTAATTGGAGAGGGGTGGGGTAGGTGTGAAGGGGTGGGGGTGGGAGGGAGTGACAACCATTATTGGCATGAGTATATATACTGCCTCAAAACAGAAAGTAAAATGGATCAAAACGTATGCTGAAAAGTACTTTACATGATATTCCATTGGCGGATCCAAGGGGTGGGGTGATGGTGGTGTGTGGGGGTGGGGATGTTCAGGGGGGTAAAACGAAACACACACACACACACACACACACACACACCATTTTAAAATGACTAATGACCACATTGAAGTTAATGTTTTGCATTGGGGGAGGGGGGATTCAGGGGGTTCGAACCCTTCCCCCTGGATCCGTCTATGTAATTCGATTTTTTTGTTAAGTTTGGGGAGATGTAGTTTTATCGGTACAAGATGCCATTTCTTATGAAATGAAATTTTCCTTCCGAGTTGTTCAGAGAGAACAACATGCAAAATTGACCAAAACACAGTCACATGCTAACCATGTCACCCCAACACATCCATGAACTGCACTTGAAACATGCTTGCATTAGAAATAAAAGTGCGGGGTTTTCAATTGATTGGCAATTGTTGCTGAAGCAAACAAGAACTCTAAAAAATGCCACGACTCAGCGAAGCCGAGAGGAACAGCACTGTTGGGAGATTGGAAGCTGGTGAATCATGTTCTGCAGTGGCCAGTGAGTTCAACGTGGCGCCCAGCACCACAGCAAGACTGTGGAACTGGTATCAATATCAAGGACCAACACGTGACCGACCCACATCAGGAAGACCACGAGATCTCACGAGGGACCGGTTCATCTGGTTACGTCTTCTACAAGACAGAACCACATCCTCTACAACATCCAACATACCGCTTATGCTTAAGGTATCGACCCAAACAGTTAGGAACCGATTACGACAAGCAGGACTTCGGGCAAGACATCCCGTCCCGTTCGTGGGCTGGTTTTAACAGCACAACACTGTCAGTGGTGTCAAGCACACAGGGTATGGCAGCAACTTCGTTGGAGGAGGGTGTGGTTCAGCGACGAGTCCCGTTTCCGGGTGTATCATTCAGACGGCAGAATTCGTCCTTTCTATATGGCACAACCTGGGTCCCAATCCACAAAACGTTCGTAGCGCTACGACATTCGTAAGCCCATAATAAACTATCGAGTTACGACAGGTCGTAACGTTACGAACGCTTTGAGGATCGGGACCCTGGAATCAACCTTTCGTTTTCCGTGAGACACTATATCTACTACACCATGGAGGCGGGATTAAATGTGGGAGGGTAGCCAAAGCTGTTACAGGTCTGAGACTATTACAGCGAGACATACAGTCTGTACCTGGGATGATAATCCGGAAACAATGATTCCTGTAACGCCCCGAACCTCTAGAAAACCCAGCCTGTTTCCCTAGGCTAAAATTATTGTCTTAACCTATCACCATACCATCTTTCCTTTATAAATACTGTAATTACCCCATGACAAAAGAAGAGTGAGTGAGTTAAAATTTAACGTCACATCGGCAATATTTCAGCCATATCGTGACGAGGACAAAAGAAGAAGAGGGAGTACTCTACACGTAGGATCCGTTCTGGAGAATGAACTGGACAAAAACGATATAAGCCTTTCTTGAATTTCGTGCTAATTTCCAAGTTGTACAATGAATTCAGGAATTCTGCACGTAAAAGAATTTGGTGCAAAACCAACAAGGAAGAAGGAAATATGATATAATTAACAATTTTCAACAAGTCTACAAAACAGTAAGAATTTCTGCAAGGGCATTTAAAAATGTTATGACTGTACAAAATACAGTGACACTACGAATTCAATGGCAATACAAATACAATATACATGTACAAGCAGTGATGTTAGCAATAACGACCGATGACAATATTCACTAGCTGCAACAGAGGTAAGGATTTCAGGATAGGCCAAATTCAGTGTAAAAAGGTATCTTCACTCAACTGTTTTTCTTCATGTAACGCGTAGGCCCTCTATATATAATATTCAGTGTAAATATCTTCTGGAATATTCTGTGTAATATGCTGGGTTGGAATAGGCAAAATATTTCCGGCTGCTCTAGAAGCATCCAGTACCTGATTTCTCGAAACAAACGTAAGTTTTTACTCAATTTCAAACTGAGTTTGACAATTTGAAACAGCTGAATATCTAGCTCAGCTGCATTTTTAAAATAAAAAGGCCAAAACAACTTAGGTAATCTGTCTACCAAACTCAAACTGTCTACTATGTTTGAGTTTAATTCAGCTTATTCTGGGAAATGCATTTTCCTGCGTTTTCTCAAATTTGAGTAAAACTCTGAGTCAAAACACAGACTAAAGTTTGTTTCGAGAAATCGGGGCCAGGTTGGTCTTGACTCTCCATCACATCACTGCCCACCCCGAAATCGTAAGAGAAACAACGTGATACAAATGCAACACTGTTTTACTGACTGACTGATTGATTGAGTATGGTTTTACGCCGTTTTAACAATATTCCAGCAATATCACAGCGGGGGGCATCAGAAATGGGCTTCACATATTGTACCCATGTGGAGAATCGAACCCGGGCTTCAGCGTGACGAGCGAACGCTTTAACCACTATGCTACCCCACCGCCCCACTGTTTTACACTAGATAACACAGCCACAACATTTCACATACCTGGGAAGGAGATTTGTTTACAGGATCCGTGAAGTGTGCAAAGGCCAGGTAGTTTATTGGATGCAGCGCGACGTAGAGGTGGCCCGTGTCGTGATCCACCATTACATTGTCTGGAGTGGAGTACAGCGGATATACCTGGAACACGTGGAAACACAAATGGTGAACACAATAGGGCGACTCTGTAAATGAAGAGAAAAACAATGAGAAATCAGGTAACTTGTCCAACGATACTTCATAGAACCAGAGAGATTAGAAACCAAACCTTGGACATATTACAGTGAAATGGTCCAAGGGAAAATTAGATGAGATCATAGCTTGGGGATATTCTAGTGAGAAGACCCAAGGGACAGTTAGTGGAGACTGTAGCTTGGAGATATTCTAGTGAGAAGACCCAAGGGACAGTTAGTGGAAACAATAGCCTGGAGATATTCTAGTGAAAAGACCCAAGGGAAAGTTAGTGGAAACAATAGCCTGGAGATATTCTAGTGAAAAGACCCAAGGGACAGTTAGTGGAGACAATAGCTTGGAGATATTCTAGTGAGACCCAAGGGACAGTGAAACAATAGCCCCAAGTGACACCCAAGGGAAAGTTAGTGGAAACAATAGGACTGGAGATATTCTAGTGAAAAGACCAATAGCAATATTCTAGGAGAAGACCCAAGGAAAGTTAGTGGAAACAATAGCCTGGAGATATTCTAGTGAAAAGACCAATAGCCTAAGGGAAAGTTAGTTAGTGGAAACAATAGCTTGGAGATATTCTAGTGAGTGAGACCCAAGGGACAGTTAGTGGAGACAATAGCCTGGAGATATTCTAGTGAAAAGACCCAAGGGAAAGTTAGTGGAAACAATAGCTTGGGAGATATTCTAGTGAAAAGACCCAAGGGAAAGTTAGTGGAAACAATAGCCTGGAGATATTCTAGTGAAAAGACCCAAGGGACAGTTAGTGGAGACTGTAGCTTGGAGATATTCTAGTGAAAAGACCCAAGGGAAAGTTAGTGGAAACAATAGCCTGGATATTCTATTTAGTGGAGACAATAGCTGAGAATTCTAGTGAGAAGACCCAAGGGACAGTTAGTGGAGACAATAGCTTGGAGATATTCTAGTGAAAAGACCCAAGGGAAAGTTAGTGGAAACAATAGCTTGGAGATATTCTAGTGAAAAGACCCAAGGGAAAGTTAGTGGAAACAATAGCCTGGAGATATTCTAGTGAAAAGACCCAAGGGACAGTTAGTGGAGACTGTAGCTTGGAGATATTCTAGTGAGAAGACCCAAGGGAAAGTTAGTGGAAACAATAGCTTGGAGATATTCTAGTGAAAAGACCCAAGGGAAAGTTAGTGGAAACAATAGCTTGGAGATATTCTAGTGAAAAGACCCAAGGTGGAAACAATAGCTTGGAGATATTCTAGTGAAAAGAGGGACAATGGAGCAATAGGAGATATTCTAGTGAAAAGACCCAAGGGAAAGTTAGTGGAAACAATAGCTTGGGGATATTCTAGTGAAAAGACCCAAGGGACAGTTAGTGGAGACTGTAGCTTGGAGATATTCTAGTGAAAAGACCCAAGGGAAAGTTAGTGGAAACAATAACTTGGGGATATTCTAGTGAAAAGACCCAAGGGAAAGTTAGTGGAAACAATAGCCTGGAGATATTCTAGTGAAAAGACCCAAGGGAAAGTTAGTGAAGACAATAGCTTGAAGATATTCCAGTAAAATGACCCGAGGGAAAGTTGAGAGCTCTCAATGGTGTCAGCTAAAGTCGTAATACTTGACACATCCTTTTTCCCACTTACCTCTTTTAGTTGTAGAGAGTTGTCCTTGCTTCTGTCATAAATCCTCAGATCACGGGACAAGGAAGCAGTGACATAGATAAGTCTGGAGAGATGCAAGAACGCAGGTTGCAGCACAATTCAGAGTATATAATACATATTATATACGTGCAGATTGTAGCTCACCTGGCCACGATACAACTGAATAAAGCAGACGCAGCACATATACAACATTACAGTTTAATTCATATAATAATGGTTAAAGCGTTTGCTCCTCATGCCGAAGACACGGGTTCGATTACCAACATGGGTACAATGTGTGAAGCCGGGATATTGCTAGAACACTGCTAAAAGCGGCGTAAAACTACACTCACTCACTCATAATGTCAGAAACGATACAGTTGGCTTTGAATATATCCAAGAATTGCAGTACAAAATCATAATCATAAATGATGTGTACACGTAAGGTCATGATCTATGCATACCCTGCCAAACATATATCTTCGCCATTCTATTGCGAGGCAATGTATATTTAATATAATTTAGAGATTTTCGGGAAGCGTTTTCAACGCGCAGTCTTGGACCAGAGGAAACAGTTAAGTCACATTATTATTATTTAGATTTTCTCTTATTTACATAAATTTATATACGTATTCTCAATTGTAGCTTGTTGTTTTGCATACATATAGAACAAGACTAGTTGTAGGTAATCCAACATATCTGATGATTTTTTCGACAAACATTTCTTGTTTTTTTTCCTGATAAATCTGACAACCGCCCCCATGGTGTAATGGGTGGAGCGTTTATTTGATGAGCGGTAGGTCGGTAGTTCGATCCCTGGAAGATTCACACCAAAAGACCCTGATATTTATTACCCGGCATGATGGGATAAACCAAGCTGTGGTCAGCACGGGGTTATCATGTTTCTCTGAGTGGGGTATCCTTGTTAAACTGTAGCATGGTATCTAAGTTGAAAAGCACTATAACATTAGCATTAGTCCGGACTAGTGAGTGAGTTTACTTTTACGCCGCTTTGCGCAATATTCCAGCAATATCACGGCTGGGGGACACCAGAAATGGGCTTCACACATTGTACCCATGTGGAGAGGGAATCGAACCCCGGTCTTCAGCGTGACGAGCGAACGCTGTGACCTCTAGGCGACCCAACCGGCCCTACTCTAGTGCAGGTAGCCAAACGGCACGTTCATATATAAGTCTAATATTCTTAAAATCGATTCCACCTGCTTTTACATTTCCTGTGCGCGGAAGGGCGGTGGGGTAGCCTAGTGGCTAAAGCGTTCGTTAGTCATGCCGAAGACCCGGGTTCGATTCCCCACATGGGTACAATGTGTTAAGCCCATTTCTCGTGTCCCCCGCCGAGATATTGCTGGAATATTGCTAAAAGCTGCGAAAAACTATACTCACTCACTCACTCTCTGTGCGCGAAATAGGTTGCTTTCAAATCTTGTCCATTTTCAGCTATGAATATTCGTCTCAGGATCATCTTACCTTCCATCTCCAGACATCTGTATACCGTTAGCCATCTTGAGTCGGTCGGTCACTATGCGATATGCTGTACCATCGAAGTAGCCCACATTGGCCCAAGGCATCATAGACAAATTTTCTAAGATTTTACCGACAGTGCTATCGCTATACAAAAAGTTGGTGTAATAGAAACTGTCTTCACTGGTGGCGACGAGGTCATTTAAGCTGAAAAAGGACATACATACACATTTCATAAGTTATTGGTAATATGATCAAAATAGTTATGTCCTACAAATTGTCCTCATTTAATCAGTGTACTTGTTCTCACTTATATTGAGGCGGCGGATAGTCTAATGGTTAAAGCGTTGGCTCGTCACGCTGAAGACCCGGGTTTGATTCCCCACATGGGTACGATGTGTGAAGCCCATTTCTGGTGTTCCCCGCCGTGACATTGCTGGAATATTGCTAAAAGCGGCGTAAAACCATACTCACTCACTCAGTACTTATGTTGGATAATGTTTAAGGGATACCACGGTGTTCTTTTTTGCCACCGGGTGTTGAAAGCAATAAAGGTGATCACTCATATTTATCACTATTGTTGTATGGTCGAACATTGGGAATCCACACCATAAGGCAAAAATGTAAACTCTTTTTTTTTCATTCTTTGCACTACTCTGGACGGTCAGATGGCCGAGTGGTAAACATGTTCGCTGGTCAAGTTGAGGTGGGTTCTACTCCGAATTTTGTGCAATGGTACACGCCTATTTTTGTGCCCAGAATAGTGCTGCAAAATTACTAAACGGGGGGTAAATATTATACTCTCATTCACTCACTAACTCACTTCTTAAAGGTTGTGTCTCCATGATAAGACTTCATATGTTGTAAGGAAACTGTGTCGAAAGATACGAGGAATTTCTCGACCTTCTCTCGTCCGTCCCGCTCATGATTCACCACAAACAGGTACACTCGACCTGAAGAGAACAAATAATATTCTGTAGTTAGAAATATTATGGAATCCTAGGACGGGCACCCTAAACTCACCCGTATCCTTGTCCTCCCAAGCATGTCATGAAGCTGGAGTTTATATCATGTACATCAACTCGACATCCTAGACTAGTCTCACCTGCAGCCTTGTCATCCCAAGCACTGATGCCACTAAGCTGGAGTCTATATCCTGTACATCAACTCGACATCCTAGTCTCACCCGTATCCTTGTCCTCCCAAACAATGATGCCATGAAGCTGGAGTCTATATCCTGTACATCAACTCGACATCCTTGTCTCACCTGCAGCCTTGTCCTCCCAAGCAGTGATGCCACTAAGCTGGAGTTTATATCCTGTACATCAACTCGACATCCTAGTCTCACCTGCATCCTTGTCCTCCCAAGCACTGGTGCCATGATTCTGGAGTTTATATCCTGTACATCAACTCGATGCCCTAAACTCACCTGCATCCTTGTCCTCCCAAGCACTGGTGCCATAAGGCTGGAGTTTATATCCTGTACATCAACACGATGCCCTAAACTCACCTACATCCTTGTGACACCCTAAACTCACCTGTATCCTTGTGACACATTAAAAAATACCTGCATCCTTGTGACACCCTAAACTCACCTGTATCCTTGTGACACCCTAAACTCACCTGTATCCTTGTGACACATTAAAAAATACCTGTATCCTTGCGACACCCTAAACTCACCTGTATCCTTGTGACACCCTAAACTCACCTGTATCCTTGTGACACCCTAAACTCACCTGTATCCTTGCGACACCCTAAACTCACCTGTATCCTTGCGACACCCTAAACTCACCTGTATCCTTGTGACACCCTAAACTCACCTGTATCCTTGCGACACCCTAAACTCACCTGTATCCTTGTGACACCCTAAACTCACCTGTATCCTTGCGACACCCTAAACTCACCTGTATCCTTGCGACACCCTAAACTCACCTGTATCCTTGTGACACCCTAAACTCACCTGTATCCTTGTCCTCCCAAGCACTGATGCCATGAAGCTGGAGTTTATATCCTGTACATCAACACGACATCCAAAACTCCTTGCATCCTTGCGACACCCTAAACTCACCTGTATCCTTGTGACACCCTAAACTCACCTGTATCCTTGTGACATCCTAAACTCACCTGTATCCTTGTGACACCCTAAACTCACCTGTATCCTTGTGACACCCTAAACTCACCTGTATCCTTGTGACACCCTAAACTCACCTGTATCCTTGTGACACCCTAAACTCACCTGTATCTTTGTGACACCCTAAACTCACCTGTATCCTTGCGACACCCTAAACTCACCTGTATCCTTGTGACACCGAAGACTCACCTGTATCCTTGTGACACCCTAAACTCACCTGTATCCTTGTGACACCCTAAACTCACCTGTATCCTTGTGACACCCTAAACTCACCTGTATCCTTGCAACACCCTAGACTCACCTGTATCCTTGTCCTCCCAAGCACTGATGCCATGGGGCTGGAGCCTGTCCTTGTCAAAATTCTCCGTGGACGTCAGCGTCATCTCCTGCACCACCTTCCTCGGGTTCTTCATGTTGAACAAGTAGATCCTCCCCTTGACTTTGTTTTGTTTATAAAACTTTTCAAAGGATGGACCGCTACCTGCCATCCGGAACCCCTGCAGCAGTAGTAAAAAGTGCTTGACCGATGACCTCCATGTTATGCAAACAATACACGCCACACATTCGACAAAAGGCCATGTTAGTAGGATAGAATAGCCAGAGTCTGAAATTACAACTATGTATAAAGTACGGTGTAAGACCTAGTGTACAATATTGATACCTGTATACGAAGTACCTTGTACGACCTAGTGTGTAATATTGGATCCTATATATATAATGAGTCAAAAAAGAAACTTCACAAAATGTAATTTGAAAAATAATGAATAATTTTTCTCTGATGATACATCTATGTATCCGAAATGGGATCCCTATCTTTCGACTCTAGAAAAACGTTAGCAAAACCCACTCAAACCCATCCATTCCTCGTGCAAATGACGTTAGTGCCAAATCAGGTTTTGCACGTGCAGTCGATCACGTGATCTTCGCATCGAAGTTTTCTTCATATGCACGTGTTTGCATTGGCCTCAAGAATTGAAAAAACTCTTTTAAACCACAGTTCTAACGGTACTTGAAATGCCACGATTGTCAAATGTGCAACGTGAACGTGCCGTTGGCGTGTTGCAAGCGGGAAGATCAGTTATTGACGTCGCAAGAGCAATGGGATGCAGACGTCGTACTGTGTATGACTTGCGAGGTCGTCTACAACAAACTGGCACCACTTCTGATCGCCCAAGGTCGGGTCGTCCACGTGTGACGTCATGAGCAGAAGACCGTCAAATCGTCCTACGTCACCTACGTGTCAGATTTCTACCGGCTACACGAACCAGGGCTGAGATGTTTAGAGGTCGACTGTCCTCACAGACCATTCGAAATGGGTTGCGGGCTGCCAATCTCCATTCTCGACGTCCATATCGTGGGCCAATATTGACGCCGTTTCATCAACGTCAACGTCTGCTGTGGGTCCAACGTCACCTCCGATGGACCCAGAGAGACTGGAATCGAGTCGTCTTTAGCGATGAATCCAGGTTTACCCTCAGATTCGCGGACGACGTCGTGAACGGTATGCCCAATGTTGTGTACAGGAAGTCGACAGATTCGGGGGCGGAAGTTGCATGGTGTGGGGTGCTTTCTGTGGGAACAACCGTTTCCGACTTCGGGTCATCCGTGGAAACCTCACAGTTGCTGCTTACCGCGACCAGGTGCTCACCCCTGAACTCGTTCCTTTCATGGCGGCTCATGGCCCAGGTCTACAGTTCCAGCATGATAATGCTCGGCCGCATACCGTGATGTTGACACGAAATTTCCTTCAAAACGCTGGAATCAACGTCAAGGACTGGCCATCGAGGTCCCCTGACCTTAATCCAATAGAGCACGTTTGGATGCACTTGGGAGAAGGCTTCGTGGTCTTAGGAACCAACCTCAGAATTTGCAGGAACTTGGCGCTGCCTTGCAAGAGCAATGGCGCAGAATCCCCAACCACGTGTTCACAAGCATCAGGCAGTCGATGAGGAGACGGTGTTTGGCAGTGGTGAATGCGCGGGGCGGCCATACACGATATTGAACTGAGAAATTTCGCATTTTTATTCTTGTGACTTGACATTTTGTATACCCATGTTTGGAACGGCGGTGTAGCCTGATGGAACTGATTATGGCACTGTCAGTGTATCGAGTACACCACACAGATCTCAGCAATGAAATAATAACAATTTAACCATCTTACCATCTCTTGTTCTTTTATAGTGCCCTGAAGAAAGAATGTGAAGTTTCTTTTTTGACTCAGTATATATGTTACAGGAAAATTTCAGTAATTATGCATAATGTCTGATTCACTCAGGAATTATGTATATTTACTGAAATTAGGAGCCAACATCGAAAACGTAGAAGTAAGACATCATCCACGTAAAAGTTTATATCCTTTAAGTATACATAATTCCTGAAATTTAAGAAACAAAATTGTACATATTTACTCAAATCCTTTACCTTTGATCCTGCTGTACAGACTGACATTAAGAGTAATATCAATATTCAGTAATTCAAATGATTTCAGTAAATATGTATAATTTTGTTTCTTAAATTTCAGGAATTATGTATAATTGCTTAAAATTTCAGTAAATATACATAATTCCTGAGTGAATCAGACATTATACATAATTACTGAAAGTTTCAGTAATTATACATATTTACTGATTATACTTATTTCCTGTTACATATGTACAAATACCATGTAGGACCTAGTGTACAATATCGAATCATATATATATATATATATATATATATATATATATATATATATATATATAAATAAAATACTAAACTATGTCCCGTGTAATACCATATTTATGAAACGAGTGAATGGTTTGGTATCTAACTGGCGAAAGCGAGTTAGATACCTAAACCATTCACGAGTTTCATAAATATGGTATTACACGGGACATTGTTTAGTATTCTCTATATACGAAGTACCTTATAGGACCATGTTTTCAATGTTGGCTCCTACATACGAAGTGAGTGAGTGAGTGAGTTTAGGTTTACGCCGCACTTCAGCAATATTCCAGCTATATGCTGGCGGTCTGTAAATAATCAAAACTGGAGCAGACAATTCAGTGATCAACATCTGTACATCGATCTACGCAATTGTGATACGATGACATGTGTCAACCAGGTCAGCGAGCCTGACCACCCGATCCCGTTAGTCGCCTCTTACAAGCATGAGTTACTGAAGATCAATTCTAACCCGGACCTTCACGGGTAGACATACGAAGTATCATGTAAGACCTATAGCTAGTGTACAATACTGGCTCCTTTCTACGATGTATCGTGTGGAATCTAATGTACAGCAATGGCTTTTATACGGCCTAGTGTGTAATACTTGGTCCTATATGCGTATATACAAAGTACCATGTCGGACCTAGTGTACAAGATTTACTCCAATGTATAAAGCACCATGTCAAACCTATTGCACAGAATTGATTTATGTAGAAGGTAACCACATCTATGTAGACATTATTTACATCTACGAAGAAGATGCTTACATCTACGTAGAAGATACGTATAGACTATATTTAACATAGGCTATATTGAACTAGGGTCGCAACTTCACAAGACGATACTTACATTTACGTAGATGATACTTACATCTATGAAGAAGATAATTACATCTATGTAGACACAGTATTTACATCTATGAAGATGATACTTAGATTTACGTAGAAAATACTTACATCTACGTAGAAGATTCTTATAGATGTAAGTATCTTCTACGTAGATGATATTGTCTTGAGACGTTGCGACACTAGTTCAATATAGCCTATGCATAGTTTTGATCTGGTTTACCTTCTCACAATACCTAAATATAGACATACCGAGGTTGAAAGTGAATATAAGACCATTATTATTTAAGCCACAGGTAACACAAAACAGACCTGGAACTATTGTCGATTACTCGAGAAATTATGGCTAACAAAGTCGATCATTCGATAATTGATGACAACCTTCTTCTAAGTAGGTGATATCGTTTCTGTAAATATAACTAGCATTTATGTAGATACTGCTAGGCCAAATGTTAGAAAAGTCCCTATTTTAGGATCTCTCGCAGAAAATGCAAAGTAATATCATATTACCTGATAATGATGTTATCTCTACATTTGGCCTAGGAGTATAGAAGTAAAGTATCATCTACGTAGAAGCAAATTATCATCGTCGATGACATCTCACCTCTTTCTCATTGCCTATCACTAGACTCTATGGATTTTGTCTGTACATTTGTTCTTTAACCTTTTCGATTTTGTCAAAGCGCCAGTGAGCACCTATTGATGGATATTAGGCGCTATATATATCCATTATTATCATTAGGTAATTTAGAAGTATCATCCACGTAAAAAAGTATCACCATACGTAGAAGTAAAGCACCATCCACGTAAAAAAGTCATCCACGTAAAAAGCATCATCACGTAGAAGTAAAGCATCATCCACGTAGAAGTAAGATATCATCCACGTAAAAGTAAAGCGTCATCCACGTAGAAGTAAGATATCATCCACGTAAAAGTATCATCCACTTAAAGCGTCATCCACGTAAAGTAAGATATCATCCACGTAGAAGTAAGATATCATCCACGTAAAAGTAAAGCATCATCATCCACGTAAAAGTAAAGCATCATCCACGTAGAAGTAAGATATCATCCACGTAAAAGTAAAGCATCATCCACGTAGAAGTAAGATATCATCCACGTAAGAAGTATCAAGCATCATCCACGTAGTAAAGTAATCCACGTAAATATCATCCACGTAGAAGTAAGATATCATCCACGTAATCATCCACGTAGAAGTAAGATATCATCCATCATCCACGTAGAAGTAAGATATCATCCACGTAAATGTAAAGCATCATCCACGTAGAAGTAAGATATCATCCACGTAGAAGTAAAGCATCATCCACGTAGAAGTAAGATATCATCCACGTAAAAGTAAAGCATCATCCACGTAGAAGTAAGATATCATCCACGTAAAAGTAAAGCATCATCCACGTAGAAGTAAGATATCATCCACGTAAAAGTAAAGCATCATCCACGTAGAAGTAAAGCGTCATCCACGTAGAAGTAAGGTATCATCCAAGTAGAAGTAAGGCATCATCCACGTAGAAGTAAGGTATCGTCTACGTAAAAGTAAAGCATCATCCACGTAGAAGTAAGGTATCATCCATGTAAAAGTAAAGCATCATCCACGTAGAAGTAAAGCATCATCCGTGCAAAAGTAAAACATCATCCACGCAAAAGTAAAGCATCATCCACGTAGAAGTAAAGCATCATCCACGTAGAAGTAAGGTATCATCCACGTAAAAGTAAAGCATCATCCACGTAGAAGTAAAGCATCATCCACGTAGAAGTAAAGCATCATCCACGTAGAAGTAAGATATCATCCACGTAAAAGTAAAGCATCATCCACGTAGAAGTAAGATATCATCCACGTAAAAGTAAGGTATCATCCACGTAGAAGTAAGATATCATCCACGTAAAAGTAAGGTATCATCCACGTAGAAGTAAGGTATCATCCACGTAGAAGTAAGGTATCATCCACGTAAAAGTAAAGCATCATCCACGTAGAAGTAAGGTATCATCCACGTAAAAGTAAGGTATCATCCACGTAGAAGTAAGGTATCATCCACGTAAAAGTAAGGTATCATCCACGTAGAAGTAAGGTATCATCCACGTAAAAGTAAAGCATCATCCACGTAGAAGTAAGATATCATCCACGTAAATGTAAAGCATCATCCACGTAGAAGTAAGATATCATCAACGTACAAGTAAAGCATCATCCACGTAGAAGTAAGATATCATCCACGTAAAAGTAAAGCATCATCCACGTAGAAGTAAGATATCATCCACGTAAATGTAAAGCATCATCCACGTAGAAGTAAGATATCATCCACGTAGAAGTAAAGCATCATCCACGTAGAAGTAAGGTATCATCCACGTAAAAGTAAAGCATCATCCACGTAGAAGTAAGATATCATCCACGTACAAGTAAAGCATCATCCACGTAGAAGTAAGATATCATCCACGTAAAGTAAAAGCGTCATCCACGTAGAAGTAAAGCGTCATCCACGTAGAAGTAAGGTATCATCCAAGTAGAAGTAAGGCATCATCCACGTAGAAGTAAGGTATCGTCTACGTAAAAGTAAAGCATCATCCACGTAGAAGTAAGGTATCATCCATGTAAAAGTAAAGCATTATCCGCTTAGAAGTAAAGCATCATCCACGCAAAAGTAAAGCATCATCCGCGTAGAAGTAAGCTATCATCTAAGTAAAAGTAAAGCGTCATCTACGCAAATGTAAAGCATCATCTACGTAAATGAAAAGCATCATCCACGTAAAAGTAAAGCACCATCCACGTAGAAGGTGTCATCCACGCAAAAGTAAAGTATCACCAATGTAGAAGTAAGCTATCATCTACGTACAAGTAAAACATCATCCACGCAAAAGTAAAGCATCATCCGCGTAGAATTAAAGCACCATCCACGTAGAAGTAAAGCATCATCCACGCAAAAGTAAAGTATCACCAATGTAGAAGTAAGCTATCATCTACGTACAAGTAAAGCGTCATCTACGCAAAAGTAAAGCATCATCTACGTAAATGTAAAGCATCATCCACGTAGAAGTAAAGCACCATCTATGTTGAAGTATCACCTACTTAGAAGTGAATTCAGGAAACGCCCCACATGGGCTCGGCATGTCAGTGATTTGTTATTTTATTTTGGCTTTGGTACTGCTTGGATTTCACAAGATGTCGGTGATACAAAAATGTTTCTATGTATGTTTACTGAAAGAATTAACAACTGTTCTATGCAAGAGTGGCATCTTTCCCTAGATGTTCCTTCGCTGTCTTTCTATAAGTCTCATAAATCTCTGTTGACCTGTTAAAAATATTTATCATTGAACATAATTGCATAAGTGCAAGCGTCTGTTCACATTATTTAGATCAGGATGAACTGCACTAGGTATCAAATATATTAGAAGAGGTACTGCCTCCTGCAATGATGATATTGTGTTATGTAAACACTGTAAAAGTATTGAGGATGAAATCCATATTGTCTATATTTGTAAATGCTATGAGGATACGCGTCGACGTTACATTCCAAAAACGGTCCATGGATATTACTATTCTCTCCACAGAATATGTACATCATCAGACATTACCATCATAAATAATTTTGTCAAGTTCTTATGTTTATTCTGCTCCTGTTAGCGTTGTTGTATGAAAACGGTAACCAAAATCACTATTGTACCACCTTGTACGATGGGTCGTATGGCCTTTATACAAAAATAAACCATTCTTCTTCTTTTTCTTCCTCTTCTACATAGAAGTAAGGTATCATCTACGTGTAAGAAAAGCGTCATCTACGTATAAGTAAAGCATTATCTACGTAGAAGTAAAGCATCATCTACGAAGAAGTAGAGCATCATCTACGTAAAAGTATAGCATCATCTACGTAAAAGTATAGCATCATCTACGTAAAAGTAAAGCATCATCTACGTAAAAGTAAAGCATCATCCACGTAAAAGTAAAGTATCATCCACGTAAAAGTATAGCATCATCTACGTAAAAGTATAGGATCATCTACGTAAAAGTATAGCATCATCTACGTAGAAGTAAGGCATCATCTACGTAGAAGTAAAGCATCATCTACGTAGAAGTAAGGATCATCTACCTAGATGATAATTTGTTTTTAGACAAGGGCACTAATACGCTTGTATAGTACCATGAGCGTAAACATCTTTGATACACCAGATGCGATATGTCCGTCACAAACATACCGATGTTATAAATGTCCTTCCGTCTGGCAGCATATGCATATCCTCGGAGCCAAAACCTGAAATGCACGAAACCAGTATTTTCTCTCATCTGTTTGCCATAGTCAATATCATTTCGTGAAGCTAAATGGTACCAAAACACGTTAGAAACCATACCTGAGTTTAGGATGGAACATATTTAATTCCTTTCCTTGTACAAGGACTGGATTGGTAAACAGGTCTTAAGACTTACATAAATACCGCCCAAGTAATACACAAAATCACAAACGAATACAATGCAAAGACAAAGTACAAACAAATAGAAGATGATGCCTGTGAATACGTTGGAAGTGCGTCGGATATGAAGAATGAGCTACAAATACCCATATACATTTTTGTAATCAGTTTTAAATCGTTTTGTCTGTTGAATAAAATAATGAACGGATGCCAAAATCTTTTGATTAAGGTTTGTGGTTTCTAACGAATTTCCATAAATTGAGGTTAAATCCCATGGTATAGAAGTATGAATTTGATCTTAAGGAATGGAATTTGGACACATGAAGAAATAATGAGCAGTATCCTCTCGTATCAAACCGCAGGAACAGGAAGGGTCTTCAGAGATGTTTATGGGTATCTCAGTCACTACATCCTCGTCATAGTCGAGAGTAAAGGATTTGATATATTTTCTATCCGTAGTCCAGGTCAAATTGATGTGTATCCTCATCGCGGATAAGTCGTTTAATACATCATATGAAATACGCACTGGTCAGATCTGATATGTCTGTGACATACGGAATAAACGATTGTGTATAGTACTCATTTCTGTATTTAATAACTTGCAAGTAGGAACCACGCCTTCAGGAGCGATTACTTAAAGTTGTAGCTGAGTTTTGAGGAGTTCGCTCAGAAGCCACACATGGAGGCTATGCGAAATACAAAAGATACAGTCTTCTCCTGAAAGCCCTTCGTGACATTTTGTTGCACTGAACTGGAAAATACGTTGACATGATTTGCAAAGGAGCATGATGTATTTGCACAATGAAAGATTGAGTTCGAATCCAGCAATTCTGCTTCCTAGGCCATAGCGATCACTCATACTAGCTCATTAAGCAAACATTGAGTAAGAGAGTAATGTTTTACGCCGCTGTTTAAGTAATAGTTCAGAAACATCATGGCGGGAGTTATCAGTAATGGGCTTCACACAGTTGACTGGTTGGTTGGCTGGTTGTTTAACGCCACACTCAGCAATATTCCAACTATATATATGGCGGCGGTCTGTAAATAATCGAGTCTTGGCCAGACAAACCAGTGATCAACAGCATGAGCATCGATGTACGCAATTGGGATACGATGACATGTGTCAACCAAGTCAGCGACCCTGACCACCCGATCCCGTTAGTCGCCTCTTAGGACAAGTCTGGGTTGCTGAAGACCAAATGTAACTCGGATCTTGACGGGTATTCACTCATTATAACCATGTAATGAATTGAATTCAGGCCCTTTAGGCATGACGAACGACATGGCCACCCCAGCCCCCTTTTATAGTACGGCGTAACAAATATTCTCTCACCTATTCCTTCCACTTGATGGCACGGGCCAGGATAATGGTTGAACACGTGCTTGTCGAAGTTCATATGGAAACTGAAACAGATTAAATCAACTGTAACCATGGTAACGATGGAAGAACGTATCATGTTATTTCGAATCTGCTAAGAACATAGAATCTTGGTCAGATATTACCTATGCAATCCCCGAGTGTGAGAGGTATCTTCATTCTGTCCGTTTAATGGATGTACGCGGTCCTCGTAAGTAATAGGAAAAAAGATAATGTTTATCAGATGACGATAATTGTTACCGTGGGCAGTGGAGTGAGTGAGTATGGTTTTACGCAACAATATTCCAGCAATATCACGGCGGGGACACAAGAAATGGGCTTCACACATTGTACCCATATGGGGAAACGAACCCGGGTCTTCGGCGTGACGAGCGAACGCTTTAACCACTAGGCTACCTCGTAAAATAATCCCAAGCGGCCACGTAGATCGTGTAGGATATTTGATATTCTGTACTTGAAGTAAATGCATTGCCATGATGGCTGACTTAGAGGTAGCTGACTTAGAGTTTCTTATGTAATAACGATATTGTTTACATCTATTTTTGTAACCAAACTATAAAAGACATTACTACAAAACAATTTAAGTACAGAAACACTCTTGTAATCTCTCGTTTTCGGGTCAAAACACATCACCATATCAACATAGTCTTTTGTTTGTTTGGTGTTTAACGCCACACCCAGCAATATTCCAGCTATCTGGCGGCAGTCTGTAAATAATCGAGTCTGGAACAGACAATCCAGTGATCAACATCATGAGCATCGGTCTACGCAGTTAGAATACGATGACATGTGTCAACCAAGTCAGCGAGCCTGACTACCCGATCCGCTAGTCGCCTCTTACGTCAAGCATGGGTTGTAGGAGACCAGTTCTAACCCAGATCTTCACGGGTAATCATACATCCTAACCACCCCACAATTAATTCGTGGCATCTTGTTATCACATTAAAACGGATAAAAAACACAGAGTGTCATTTCCAACGTTTATAAAACCATGAAGTTATCTGATGGTGACACGATAATACACCCAGTGAATCTAGGATTCGAACCCGTTTAGGTAATGACAGAAACCTCGCGTTAGTTTCCACGGCAACAAATACTCACCATAACTTGACCACGTGCTGCAGCAGCAACACGAGCAAGCTGATGAGGATGATTTTTACAAACATCTTGAAGCTGAAATAAATTCAGAAATATGGGTCAGGTAATTTGTCAGGAACATGCACTAAAGATGTCTAACAAATCCAACATGTTCATAAAAGTAAATGTAGCATGTCCCACACGCCCTGGACAATATCATGTATTTTCGTTTTCTCCCAGTCACCCGTTTGTATTGGAGATGGTTGCACTATGAGACGGAGACGGTGCTGACGAACTTAAAACTATGATCGGACGAACCGGAATTGGAATAAAAATAGTTGTTTTGTGTCAAAGGGACACAACTCCAGTAGTTTCCGGACGTTGTCCCGAGCAATTCACATTTCCGGATCTTGTTCTGTGTGTAGACTTTCATAAATCTTTTCTAAACACCAATTCCATTATCAACATGAGACCCGTTTCACAAAGCTATCATAGCGTTACGACTGTCGTCAGTCTATGTTACAGTATAGGAGGTACGACTGTCGTCAGTCTATGTAACAGTATAGGAGGTACGACAGTCGTAGCGCTTTGTGAAACGGGGCCCAGTACACATTAATTATAATTTATAACCTGTACACTGTACACATAACTTTACTCCTGTATATAATGCTTTAACCAGGGGCGTAGCTACCATTACAAAAATAGCCCGGCTTACACATGATTGTTTCTAAAAAGGTTTGGAAAGCCCTCAATACTACATAGATATAAAACTTTGCAACCTATCGGGCTTATACGAAAACTTTACCACAGTACTCTACATCAATTGCTTGAAAACAGGGTTAGCATCTACACCAAAACGTCGCATATATTGTAATAAAGAATCTGTCCCCTTTTCATTACACTAACCTTCTAAATGACACTTGAAGCTGACTCACTTTACCGTGTACGCAGAATGTTATCTACAACATATAGTCAACAAACCGGCCTAGTGTCAATGTATCGGCAACCTGCATACTACCCTTGCTCTAAGGCTGTACTGAATGCTAAGCCAGTGGATGCATAGTAATTCTGTCATTTAGAGGGGCAAGTCGAGAGAGGCCAGTGTAGATAGGCGGACGGACGCCAGTCTGTTACAGGGATATATATAGACTTGTACAAGTCTACTTGTATACCAATGCGGGTGTTTGTGAAAAAGCTCTCTCTCAGTTAATATTGATAAGCATCAAAGATGGACGTCGCCTCAGTCTTAAAAACACATTCCAACGCATGACATACCTCGAGGATCCCTCTACACGCAGTCGACCGGAACACTCTTAAAAAGCTGAACAACGAATCATTGAACGAGTCATGGAGTTGAACGCAATATAGCTCGTGCGGATAAATCTGTAAGCTATGCAGTGTTGAAGGAACAGTAACTGTTACCTAACCCAGCTGAGGTATCAATACGAAGCCCCAGGTCGCGGTGCGCTGGGGGTTGACGCGACGGCGATGAGGCTCGGTTCGGGTCGGGGTCAGTCTGTTGTTATGGGGATCTACGCTCCACCATGCCTATTCCTTGTCCCGTGGGAAGGCCCATACGACCCAGGATATGTGAACTGGCTTCAGCAATACCTGTTGACTAACGCTTAGTGTCTGAATATTATAATTTTGATAGAAACAAACCTTTAAAATTGAAAAGGAGTGCCCGCGAGGAGGGAGATCTTGAACCTGAGAAAGCATCATTTAGGGCTTTAAGATTGCAGAGAGGGCTACAGGAGGGGGAAAACGCGTTCGGGGAGTGTGATATGGACTACACTATCTGCTGCCATTTGCCGTGCAGATTCGACATGTTTTGGTACTTGGTTCCTCAATGTATATCTTGGGCTACACTTATTGTAAAGATATTCTAGATGTAATGTGCTGTGCTTAGTGTAAAGATAACTTCTTGGAGGGGCATTTAGAAGTTGTAAATGTGTACTCATTGCAATAAAGAAATTGACTATTCATTGAACTTGGTTTTCCTTTAGTATAAAGATGTCACAGAATACTATATGCAGGACAGATACGGTAAAGTGTTGCACTTAGTGAAAAGATATTCCAATATACTACAAACAGGATAGGTACGGTAAAGTGTTGCTCCTATTGTAAAGGTATTCTAGTATACTACAAACAGGATAGGTACGGTAAAGTGCTGCTCCTATTGTAAAGGTATTCTCGAATACTACAAACAGGATAGGCACGGTAAAGTGCTGCTCCTATTGTAAAGATATTCTAGTATACTACAAACAGGATAGGCACGGTAAAGTGCTGCTCCTATTGTAAAGATATTCTCGTATACTATATGCAGGATAGGTACGGTAAAGTGCTGCTCCTATTGTAAAGGTATTCTCGAATACTACAAACAGGATAGGCACGGTAAAGTGCTGCTCCTATTGTAAAGATATTCTCGTATACTATATGCAGGATAGGTACGGTAAAGTGCTGCTCCTATTGTAAAGGTATTCTCGAATACTACAAACAGGATAGGCACGGTAAAGTGCTGCTCCTATTGTAAAGATATTCTCGTATACTATATGCAGGATAGGGACGGTAAAGTGTTGCTCCTATTGTAAAGATATTCTCGTATACTACATACAGGATAGGTACGGTAAAGTGCTGCTCCTATTGTAAAGGTATTCTAGTATACTATATGCAGGATAGGGACGGTAAAGTGTTGCTCCTACTGTAAAGATATTCTCGTATACTATATGCAGGATAGGTATGGTAAAGTGCTGCTCCTACTGTAAAGGTATTCTCGTATACTACAAACAGGATAGGTACGGTAAAGTGCTGCTCCTATTGTAAAGATATTCTAGTATACTACAAACAGGACAGGCACGGTAAAGTGTTGCTCCTATTGTAAAGATATTCTCGTATACTATATGCAGGATAGGTACGGTAAAGTGTTGCTCCTATTGTAAAGGTATTCTCGAATACTACAAACAGGATAGGCACGGTAAAGTGCTGCTCCTATTGTAAAGGTATTCTAGTATACTATATGCAGGATAGGCACGGTAAAGTGTTGCTCCTATTGTAAAGGTATTCTAGTATACTATATGCAGGATAGGCACGGTAAAGTGTTGCTCCTATTGTAAAGATATTCTCGTATACTACATACAGGATAGGTACGGTAAAGTGCTGCTCCTATTGTAAAGGTATTCTCGTATACTACATACAGGATAGGCACGGTAAAGTGTTGCTCCTATTGTAAAGATATTCTCGTATACTACATACAGGATAGGCACGGTAAAGTGTTGCTCCTATTGTAAAGGTATTCTCGTATACTACATACAGGATAGGCACGGTAAAGTGTTGCTCCTATTGTAAAGATATTCTCGTATACTACATACAGGATAGGCACGGTAAAGTGTTGCTCCTATTGTAAAGGTATTCTCGTATACTACATACAGGATAGGCACGGTAAAGTGCTGCTCCTATTGTGAAGATATTCTCGTATACAACAAACAGGATAGGCACGGTAAAGTGCTGCTCCTATTGTGAAGATATTCTCGTATACTACAAACAGGATAGGCACGGTAAAGTGCTGCTCCTATTGTGAAGATATTCTAGTATACTACAAACAGGATAGGCACGGTAAAGTGCTGCTCCTATTGTAAAGGTATTCTAGTATACTATATGCAGGATAGGTACGGTAAAGTGCTGCTCCTATTGTGAAGATATTCTAGTATACTACAAACAGGATAGGCACGGTAAAGTGCTGCTCCTATTGTAAAGGTATTCTCGAATACTACAAACAGGACAGGCACGGTAAAGTGTTACTCCTATTGTAAAGGTATTCTAGTATACTACAAACAGGATAGGCACGGTAAAATGCTGCTCCTTTTGTAAAGGTATTCTCGTATACTACAAACAGGATAGGCACGGTAAAGTGCTGCTCCTATTGTAAAGGTATTCTCGTATACTACAAACAGGATAGGGACGGTAAAGTGCTGCTCCTATTGTAAAGGTATTCTAGTATACTACAAACAGGATAGGGACGGTAAAGTGTTGCTCCTATTGTAAAGATATTCTCGTATACTACAAACAGGATAGGCACGGTAAAGTGTTGCTCCTATTGTAAAGGTATTCTCGTATACTACAAACAGGATAGGCACGGTAAAGTGCTGCTCCTATTGTAAAGGTATTCTAGTATACTACAAACAGGATAGGCACGGTAAAGTGCTGCTCCTATTGTAAAGGTATTCTAGTATACTATATGCAGGATAGGCACGGTAAAGTGCTGTTATTATTTTGAAGATGTTATAGAATAATATATGCAAGACAGGTACGGTATTTGTTGTACATATTGTAAAGATATTCTAGTGTACGATATGCAGGATAGGGACGGTAAAGTGCTGTACTTAGTGTAAAGATATTGTAGTGTACGATATGCAGGATAGGGACGGTAAAGTGTTGTACTTGAGCGTAAATATATTCTAGTGTACGATATGCAGGATAGGGACGGTAAAGTGTTGTACTTAGCGTAAAGATATTCTAGTGTACGACATGCAGGGTAGGGACGGTAAAGAGTTGTACTTATTATAAACCTGTCATATGATAGCATAAACAACGTCTTTCCCAGACCCGCATCAGTTTATACTCTCGTGCAGGTTGACACACAATGATATACATCAGCTATTGTTCGAAGAGAGAAACACAACGTTGTTTTTATCTAGCTCAGTTTCGTCTAGGTCACATACGCATACACATGCACACACCTTGTGAAGGGTAAATTGTCTACTTATAACTGTTTGGGTATAACACAAGGGTAAGCATGTTCTGAAACATATATTGTTGAATTAAACACAGACAGGTTTTGCCACTTATGTTTTTGTGTGTTTTTTTTGTTGAAGCAGAAAATCTATTTTACACTTCGATGTGGTGTTGTCAATAATAAGAAGATGTAACCCGGTCAGGAACCCCTCAAGACAAGCAGGCAAAGAATGCTGTGAAGGAAATAAGAACACAACACAAAGCATAAGAGTACACATCTGAACTTTGTCATAAATAGACTTTGTTCTATCACTGGTCGCCTATTAGAAACGTTACAAGATTTACTCTTTCTGGTAATACTCAAGTGTTAAGTTACTTCTGGATACTGCATGCATGTTATGGCGAGAAAAGACTTAACTTAATGTGAAGCTTCTAATGGGTATATTAATATATTGACAGATAGAGACATAGGAATGCAGGATAAGTACGGTAAAGTGTTGTACTAAGTGTAAAGAGTTTATATGATACTGTATGCAGGATAGTTACGGTAATATGTTGCACTTGAAATAAAACTTTTATAGGCTACTGTATGCAGGATAGGTACGGTAAATGTTGCACTTGAAATAAAACTTTTATAGGCTACTATATGCAGGATAGTTACGGTAATATGTTGCACTTGAAATAAAACTTTTATAGGCTACTATATGCAGGATAGGTACGGTAAATGTTGCACTTGAAATAAAACTTTTATAGGCTACTATATGCAGGATAGTTACGGTAATATGTTGCACTTGAAATAAAACTTTTATAGGCTACTATATGCAGGATAGTTACGGTAATATGTTGCACTTGAAATAAAACTTTTATAGGCTACTATATGCAGGATAGTTACGGTAATATGGCATAGTTATATGGTAAATACGTAAATGTTGCACTTGAAATAAAACTTTTATAGGCTACTATATGCAGGATAGTTACGGTAATATGTTGCACTTGAAATAAAACTTTTATAGGCTACTATATGCAGGATAGTTACGGTAATATGTTGCACTTGAAATAAAACTTTTATAGGCTACTATATGCAGGATAGGTACGGTAAATGTTGCACTTGAAATAAAACTTTTATAGGCTACTATATGCAGGATAGGTACGGTAAATGTTGCACTTGAAATAAAACTTTTATAGGCTACTATATGCAGGATAGTTACGGTAATATGTTGCACTTGAAATAAAACTTTTATAGGCTACTATATGCAGGATAGTTACGGTAATATGTTGCACTTGAAATAAAACTTTTATAGGCTACTATATGCAGGATAGTTACGGTAATATGTTGCACTTGAAATAAAACTTTTATAGGCTACTATATGCAGGATAGAAATTTTTATAGGTACGGTAAATGTTGCACACTTGAAATAAAACTTTTATAGGCTACTATATGCAGGATAGGTACGGTAAATGTTGCACTTGAAATAAAACTTTTATAGGCTACTATATGCAGGATAGTTACGGTAATATGTTGCACTTGAAATAAAACTTTTATAGGCTACTATATGCAGGATAGGTACGGTAATATGTTGCACTTGAAATAAAACTTTTATAGGCTACTATATGCAGGATAGGTACGGTAAAATGTTGCACTTGAAATAAAACTTTTATAGGCTACTATATGCAGGATAGGGTGACGGGTATAGGCTAATATACTTGAAATAAAACTTTTATAGGCTACTATATGCAGGATAGTTACGGTAATATGTTGCACTTGAAATAAAACTTTTATAGGCTACTATATGCAGGATAGGTATGGTAAATGTTGAAATTAGTGTAAAGATATTATATTACTTTATACATTACAGGTACGGAAAAGTGTTGCACTTATGGTAAAGATATTCTAGTACACCATATGCAGGATAGGTACGGGAAAATGTTGTACTTAGTTCAAAGATATTCTGGTATTCTCCATGCAGGATAGGTACGGTAAAGTGTTGCACTTAGTGTAAATCTGTTACAGGACAATACTAATGTCCATTGCCAATCATTTTAAATAAAGTTCACCCTCCAACAGTTTGAGTGTCCTGCAACCGAAGGTTAGGTGTATGTTACAACCATTCAAGATCCTTGGTAGTCTTAGGCAGAAAAAGGATCTTTTCAGAGAAAAGGCACTATGATGTCCTATGATGTATGACTGTTTTTGACGCATAAATAAAATAATAAAACGACCCTCCAGTATCTGTGGTCATGAATACTGGGAGTTTGCAATGCAGTCAGCTACATTCCAACAGGACATCCAATACACAATCAAGCCTTAGCCAAAAAAACAGTGGTTGATATTATATACATCATCCCATGCCTTCAAGGTATGATGGCACACAAACAATGAAGCCACATCGTTTCACAAGAAAAAGACAACCATGATGCTTCACCTAATATCCATTGCCAACACTAAAGAGTTTGTGTTTAATTGCGTCATGGAGATAAACCTGTATTTTCAGTATTTATGATTTCCCATCTGTTAAAAGTACCAGGTATTGACCAACATCAGAAAAAGACTACAATTTACCTGTTACCAGGATTTGATCTGTTAAACTGATATCACAACAGCTTCTAGTTTATTTGCCTTCAACGAATGTTTGCAAATTGTAACACATTATATCATCAATATTGTTCCTTGTAGATTCACATTATGTTTTTCACCCAGCTCATGTGTACGTCACTATTATTATTGTTAATACTCTTGTATCATTGTTAGGGAGCGGCATTGATATAAGCATGTTTTTATGCTTGTTTGCCAATCCCATCATGAGTAAATGAATAAATATGTTTAAACCATTTACCTGGGTAACCATTGGGAGAATTGAACAGCAGAAAGGTTTGGTTGTTATACCCACAAAAGCATTCATGAATAACAAAGAAGATTTGATCCTTTTATTACAAAAGATTAAGAGAAATTATCGTACAAGTCGAGCTTAGTTCCATGGCTCTCAAACTCACCTGGTTATTACAATAGCAGCTAAAATGTAAACTAAAGCAGTCTTAAAATGTAATCTGAAGCAGGCACAAAGCAACTCACTCATGGAAATAAAAAACTGTAAATAAACAAATCACAGAGAATTATTAATAGAAGTGGGCACAAATATTATTACTTGATCACATTCACTTCAAACAATTGTTCAGCGGCAGTGTCATTAAGCAGATATACAGGAGATGTGACATGATTTGAGAACGTGAGTCAATTTAACACCACAATACACCAGTACTATAACAATGGGTTATAACAGAAATGGGCTTCACACATTGTACCCATGCAAGGACAGATCCTGGTGTTTAACCACTAGGCTGTTCCACAACCCCTTCATGATTTGAACAGAAGGTGCAATAGGAGGATTTCAAGGTTGGCATGATCCTAACTACACTTACCTGAATAATATTTAACTTTGGGAGCAGCTTGACTTATATGAACCCTTCAGAAGCGGACGGGGTAGCCCAGTAGTTAAGCGTTCACTTGTCATGCCAAAGGCCTGGGTTCGATTAACCACATGGGTACATTGCGTGAAGGCCATTTCTGGCGTTCCCGCCGTGATATTGCTGGAATATTGCTAAAAGTGGCATAAAACCCAACTCACTCACTCACTCACTTAGCAGTGGACCCAGGAAAATGGGTGGGAATCGGGGTTGGGGGTAGGGTATGCAAACTCCTTAAGTCTTGCAGTGAATAAGCACACATGGTAGACAAGTTGTCACACGAGGGTCCCCAAAACAGATTGATACAGTGCATCCTCTGCACTTAAGACTCCGGACCATGTAAGCATTTTTAACCATTCTTGCAACTTGCATACATTAAAATCTGAATGTCTGATTTGTCAAACCCCCCGAACCCCCTCCTTTCAAAATTCCTGGATCCACCATGACAGGTACCTAAACTTCTGTATACCATGGTTACACCTTGATCTTTATACAGTCTACATGCCCTAGGAGCTAGTTACTGAGGATGAGAGTCAAGCAGCCTGCTACAGAATGGAGGCCATTCTGTGAATATATTGTATCCATCTGACATGGTTAGCAACTCTAGGATAGCAATAGTGTGCATGTTTATTGTTTACTGCTGAACTTGGCGACATACCAGATACATGTAAGTAATCAAGTCTTGACCAGCCAGTGGTCGATATTATGAGCGATGATCCACATTGTCATGGTGCACTTACATGGTGTCATGAAGTCACCTAGCATGATCATCAGATCAATTTGGTTACCTCTAACAACCATGCATAGGTAGTTAAAAACAAGAACAGACACAACAGAAAAACTGCTGTTATTTGCTGATTAATAAAAACATTTGTATAGGGACGTACAACCAATATGAAAACACTTCTTTTAGAACATAATTCTACTGCATCATTATGTATACAAAGCACTCCTGACCAAATTCTCTACTTCTGATACTGGGAGGTCAATTGTACGAGGATTGGTTTCAAAAATTTATATCAGAACGATTCTTCACAACCATGATGCTTCACTTAATATCCATTGCCAACACTGAAGAGTTTGTGTATAATTCTGTCATGGTAAAATGGAGGTAAACTTGTATTTTCAGTATTTATAATTTGCTATCTGTTAAAAGTACCAACATTGGAAAACCCCTGAAACTCAACCCTTGAAATATATACCTAAATGATTCGCTTGGAAAAAAGGCTGGTATTACCAGGTATTACAGACACGCACAGAGGCTCAGACACCACATAAAGCCCATTCCAGTTAAGTTTCAATCCAAGACACAGGGGCATTTCACACATAAAACCTACAGTGAAAGAAGTGAATATAACATGAGCATTAGTTTTCCCTCATGTTGCCCAAGACCACGCTATCTAATTTGAGACAAAGGTTGGTAAATAAATCAAGATCTGACTGGACAAAGCAGTGATTGATAAAACGAGCATTACCCCACTTTAAAGTGCTACAGTGATCAACCAAACCCTTTGCAGGGGCTGATACAGCTTTTTGAAAAAAGGGGGGTGCACAGTTCATTTTAACACATTTTTACGAGAGTTTCAATGGTCATTTAATAAACTTTCAGGACAAAAGAGGGTTGCACACTACTGCACACCCCTTCTGGATCCGCCTATGCTATGTCAGTCATATTTTCTTACTTTGGATCCACGCAGAGGATAATGCAATAACATAATAATATCAGAACATGAAAATTGTATCATAAAATGCATGTGGACATTGTAAACGTTAAAGCCATGTTCACTATGCATCATCCCAGGTTTAGTCAGAATGACAAAAAGAGACTTAAAAAAGAAAAAGCCACGATGTGGGTAAAATCTCGGAAACACATCTTTCTCACAATCAGTTCTGAAATACAGTCTGAATTAAAGATTAATGAAAATAATCCGGTGATAACACAGATATGCCTTTTATCTGATAAACTCTTGCAAACACATCCATTTCACAATCAGATGTGAAATGCAATCTGAATTAATATAATCATTCAAAATGATCCTGCAACCAGAAAACTATGCCTTTCATATTCAGTATGCCATACTGATGACAGAGAACACATGTACTACACATAGTGAATATGCTGCACAAATATGCATGTATTACATGTTTACTTTTGTATAATTCAGATAAAAATGTCATGCATTTTTTATATAGCATTAAATATCTGTAACATTTTTAACATTCATGATTTAAAAACTGGCACGTATAATCAGTGTATGAAATAAGGCCCGTTGGACTGCCCGAGATGGGCTAGATTTCTGACAGACGGTCTCAATTTACAGCTAGCCAGCCCGATGGTTTGGTAAAAGTTTAGTCAACATGTTCCATACATCTGAGTAAATTTCTTTGGATTGTCTAGTCTGGTTAAATCCATTTGGGGCTGAAAACATTTTGAAGTTACCCACCCTGATGTGTGGCTGGGTTTTGGCTTATTTCATACACAGGTATAATGAACCAATGAATTAGGTGTGCATTCTAACTAGTCGTTGTTGTACACATGCACAAAAATGTACACTAACATATGTATAAATAAGGAATTAAAAATCAAATATGAATTTATATGATAAGAAGTTTTATTCTACTCTTTTGTAGAATTAGACAAGAGTCATGGTAGAACTAGACAAGACATGATACCACTACAATACTGAAAGTGGAGGAATGTCATGATTTGCAAGTCATTTACATTTTGAGCTTTGTGGTAGGGGATATGATGGCCACTCTGACAAATGAAACTGAGTGGATTTTGAAAGAATTAAAGCTCTTGAGTCGGATTCTTAGAATAATCAGGACCATAATTAGATGCAGCATAATAGCAAGTAGAAAATGTACACAGAAAATAAGAAAAGAAGTCATTAACAATTACGAATATGGACTCTTGCAAGGAAAATTGGCAGCCATCTTGGAAAAATGACGACCATCTTGAATTTCCAGTGGATAATGATTAATGCTTCTTAGTTAGTTAATCCAACTATGACTATACATATTTCTGTGTTTCTATCACCATATTAACAGTTACCCGTAAATACTGTTCCACTACAAGGAACAGAATAGGGTATTTAAGGGGATTTTAAAGAATTTTATAAAATACTGCTGGAAATCTGGAAATAATTGTGTCCTGAAATAACTGTTTATCCTGAATAATAAATTGTCAAATAAATTGTATGTCCTAAAGCAGTGATTGAAAAACCCATTCCAACAAAATAAAGCTCTCAAGCCACAAAAACAGACCACCCTCAGAATATTGTTCAGTATGTCTAGTGAAAAATCACTTTTTCTTACAATTTCTCCAGTATTTACATTGCTCATTTACTTTTCCTTTCAAACTACAGCTTATGAGTTTAAAACCTTTTCAAGGATTAGAGAAAAAATAATACTGGAATTAACTCAGCCATGTTTAGGAATTACTAAATCTAGAGCGGCACATCGACATCACAATATACAAGCTTGTCAAGTATGGAGCCAATCAGCATCTTCTTGTTGTAAACAGTTGCAACAGTTGACGCAGATATCAGGTTTCCGTCATCAGTGAACAATTCTGTCACAGAAGATACAGATCCATCCTTCAGTTTTATCTGCAGGACCTGAAAGAAAGAAGACAGGTTTGTCGTGTTTGTTGTTGAATGTCAAACTCGACAATATTCCAGGTATATGATAATAGTTGAGTAAATAATCGAGTCTACACTAGACAATCCAGTGATTGACATCATTGACATTTTCAATGCTGAAAACATAAGAAGCAAGTCAGGGGGACTGATTCTACCTAGCCTTAGTCAATGGTACTGGGGACCTATTCTACCTAACAATAAAAGTCAATGGTACTGGGGACCTATTGTACCTAACAATAAAAGTCAATGGTACTGGGGACCTATTCTACCTAACAATAAAAGTCAATGGTACTGGGGACCTATTCTACCTTACAGTAAAAGTCAATGGTACTGGGGACCTATTCTACCTAACAAATAAAGTCAATGGTACTGGGGACCTATTCTGCCTAACAATAAAAGTCAATGATACAGGGGGCCTATTCTACCTTACGATAAAAGTCTATGGAACTGGGGACCTATTCTACCTAACAATAAAAGTCAATGGTACTGGGGACCTATTCTACCTTACAGTAAAAGTCTATGGTACTGGGGACCTATTCTACCTAACAGTAAAAGTCATTGGGACTGGGGATCTCTTCTATCTAACAATCTGGCACTGACGCCTTTTGTACCTAGCAATAAAAGTCAGAAGTACTCAGGACTCCTTCTACCTAACAATAAAAGTCGGGGTACATGAGACCACTTCTACCTAACAATATTAGTTGGAGGTACTGGGGACATTCACTACCTGCATACAGGCTCCCCCACATATACAGCTAACTTGACCTGATCCAACCATGTTATTACCTGTGACGGTGACCTGACAGAAGGGTCGTCAAGGTAAGCCATGGCCTGGTAACCAATGGGATGTAGCCCGATGTAGAGGTCACCTGAGACAGGATCAACGATAACGTTGTCAGGTGCTGCGTGAAGGGGATAGATCTGGCAAAACATAAATAACATTTCATATTAAAAACACATTTACTGGCGGTAACAAATTTTACCTACATTTTCAGTATGAAATGAGACGAAATATGAAAATACTGAAGCCTATTGCATTGATACTGTGATAACATGACAGGCTTCCAATTCACATAGTTTAATCTTCATTGTTCATTTTGACAGGTACATGCTGATCAGGACACTCTGGCGACTCGTATCATGGCGGACGTAAAACACATGTGCTCAGGGAGCCTTCATTGCATGCGATATTTTACGAGATCAGGGAGTGGCTCATTATTTAAAGTTTTATTATGACATATACCAAAAAAATCCACCATACTGACTACATACTTTAAAATCATTATTTGCATAAATGAAAACATTTTATAGTCAGTTGTGGACATTGTCTGAACACAACTATGCACCCCAGCAGTACTTTATAAATCGACTCTTGACTGAGTTTGGTTTTACGCCGCTTTTAGCATTATTCCAGCAACATCACGGCGGGGGACACCAGAAATGGGCTTCACACATTGTACCCATGTGGGGATGCGAACCTGGGTCTTCGGCGTGACGAGTCAACGCTTTAACCATTAGGCTACCCCACCGCCCCTGTATAAATCAAAAACAAAACACCAGAATATTGAATACTGGCACAGAAAGCTATATCAGGTTTGGTTACATTCAAGCTTTCCTATTACTGTTGTCACAGAGTAAACCCATTTTTTTTTTTAGTAAATGGTGGCTAACAGAGGCTTACACTGAAAGGAATCAATAATGGTCTGATGTGCTGCCAGTGACCACAACCTGACGGGTGAGTGAGTGAGTGAGTGAGTTTAGTTTTATGCCGCACTCAGCAATATTGGCGGTGGTCTGTAAATGATCGAGTCTGGATCAGACAATCCAGTGATCAACAGCATGAGCATCGACCTGCACAACTGGGAACCTATGACATGTGTCAACCAAGTCAGCAAGCCTGACCAACCAATCCCATTAGTCGCCTCTTACAACAAGCATGGTTTACTGAAGATCAATTCTAACCCGGATCTTCCAGGGTACCTGACAGGTGGATCTGATCCATACATCTGACCAATCAAATTCCACCTACTTCTGTCACATCTGGGGCCCGTTCCACAAAGCCACCTTAGTATCATGACTCCCATTCTTAAACACAGACTTACCGTCTCATAGGGCTATGATCGTTCTGTGGAACAGAGCCCTTGGACCATTCCTTCATCAATGTTCTTTGTCTAATATTTATTTGTCAGCTTTTTAACATGTGTTGTCCTTTACAATACAAGGCATATGTCTGAGTACAAGTGAAGTATTTTGTCTCAACCAATCCTTTGGTTCAGCTTACCTCTCTCAGGTGTATAGAGTTATCATTTCTTCTCTCGTAGATCCTCAACTCATGTCCCATACTGGCAGCAACATAGACAAATCTGCAACATTAAGAGAAACATAGATGACTGATATAACAAAATAGATGTAACAAAACACAAAATGAGAAGCCTTCCAAAAAAGGGCACGACCTGGGTCCCTCCTTAACTGGAGGCTAATTAGCATTTGTAAATTTGAAGATTCCTTTAACAACAACAAAGGCGTCCTCACCTTCCATCTCTGGATAACTGTACACCGTTAGCCATAATGATTCCATCAGCCACTATACGATATGCTGTACCATCGAAGTAACCCACATCCGCCCAGGGCATCAAGGCAAGGGTTTCAAACATCCGTTTTAAGTGACTGGAAGTTGTCAGGTAGTTGGTGTAGTAGAAGCTGTCTTCACTGGTGGCCACAACATCATTCACCCTGGAAGAAGATCAACATGATTGAGATTGTTTCAGTGACCACTACTGGGGGTGGGGTAGCCTAGTGGTCAAACCGTCCCCTTGTCACGCCGAAGACCAAGGTACGATTCCCCTCATGGGAACAATATGTGAAGCCCATTACTGGTGTTGCCTGTTGTGGTCAGCTCTGTCTCTGGATCTTAATCCCATTGAATGTGTGTGGGATCAGCTACAACATCAGTTTTCAGAGCTTCCAAATCAAGCACAGACTCTGGATGACCTTGAGAATGCACTCAGACAAGAGTGGAACAATCTCCCACAACAGAGCATCGTGAATCTCATTACAAGCATGCAACGGAGATGCCAAGCTGTTATTAGGGTGTATGGTGGCCATACTCATTATTTATGTGACTTTTGGTACGTTTCAATCCTTCTTTCAACCAGCTGTTCACTGGGTTCAATCTGCTTGATAATGTTTTATGCCATGTTCGCGAATCACAAATGGATTAAATTGAGATTTGTCATTAAATATGGATGAAAGGAGGTGTCATTGTTCTTCTCTCGGAATCTCTTCACTGTGTGCCGATTTACAAATTTGGAATGGTCGAAAAACTTCATGATCCCTAATATGTTTTGTCCAGTATAAATAGCCACAGATATCAATTTGCTACAAGATAATCTATCAGAAATTGATACCAATAATAAGAAAAATAACTCTAAGGAAAGTTTATGGTAGCCATAGCTACCTGATGACTGTTAAGATGTCTCATGTATTCAGAAAATGCTACTTACTGTTTCAGAGTTGGATCACCGTAGTAGGATTTCACATGCTGCAGTGCAAGTTTCTCAAATGACACCTGGAATTTCTCGATCTTCTCCTGTCCGTCCTTTTCGTGGTTGACAACAAATAGGTACACTGCGCCTGAAAAGAAATCAATTTGATGTTTTGTCGTCAATGTCAAACGGATATGTACTGTAATAAAGTTTTGTCATGGATACAGAATAAGGACACCTTAATCTCACCCCATCTCTTGTCCTCAATTGCTCTGATGCCATGAAGCTGGAGTTTATATCCTGTACATCAACACGACATCCAAAACTCCTTGCATCCTTGCGACACCCTAAACTCACCTGTATCCTTGTCCTCCCAAGCACTGATGCCATGGGGCTGGAGCCTGTCCTTGTCAAAATTCTCCGTGGACGTCAGCGTCATCTCCTGCACCACCTTCCTCGGGTTCTTCATGTTGAACAAGTAGATCCTCCCCTTGATGTTGTTTTGTTTATAAAACTTATCATAGTTTGATGGGTTTTCATTTACCCGAAATCCCTGCAAACATAAGATTATGATGAATCAGCCAAAGACATGCACTGCTGTAGAGAGGCACACACTTATACACTCCCTCCTAATAACTACCCATGATATCCAAGAATACATTGAGAAGAGGGGAAAAATATCCAGTGAGTGAGTGAGTGAGTTTAGTTTTACGCCTCACTCAGCAATATTCCAGCTATATGGCGGCGGTCTGTAAATAATCCAGTCTGGACCAGACAATCCAGTGATCAACAGCATGAGCATCGATCTGCACAATTGGGAACCGATGACATGTGTCAACCAAGTCAGCGAGCCTGACTACCCAATCCTGTTAGTCGCCTCTTCGACAAGCATAGGTTACTGAAGGTTCATTCTAACCCGGACCTTCATGGGTGAAAAATAATATTCATGACTCTTTCTCTCCTGTTTTCAACTAAATACAAGTCACCATTCTGTATGGGTTAACCTCTTTATGAACTCACCAACATGAAATAGAAATTTTGAATTCAAATGAATGCTCTTGTCTGCCGTTTGTGAGATAATTAAGGTTGGGCAGGTCAGGATGTACAACTACTTACAAACTTACTGATGTAATGAATGTCATCCCATTCGGCAACATATGCATGTTTTCCGATCCAAAACCTACAAAGAATAGGAAAAGTCATCGGCTTGTGGATGAAAAGATTACTGATCTGAGTACAGTGTGCCAAATAGTTTCCAAATTTAGCTGTCCAGTTGGGCTAGCTGTGCCTGAAAGGTACTAGCCCAAAATAGAATTATCTTGTCCAAATTTTGACAGAGGTTTCATCATTAAGCTACTAATTTGATGAACATTTGTATCAGGTTATAATCTTGCATGATTTAAAAGTGTCTTAAAACTTAACAACTTGGAGAGCGTGATATATTTACAAGATGACACATGAAAATTCGCTAGTCTGGCCAGTGACTGGAGATTTACCGACCCAAATGGATTTTTCCTAGCCATGGGCTAACGGGCCGGTGGTTATTTAGCGCACTGTACAAAGCAAACTTTAGGCTAAGTTAATCATAACTCCCATACCTTAACATAGACTTACTACTGTCGTAGTGCTAAGGTGATTGTAACTACCATACCTTAACACAGACTTACGACTCTGTCATAGTGCTAAGGTGATTGTAACTCCCATACTTTAACATTGACTTATGACAGTCGTAGCGCTAAGGTGATTGTAACTCCCATACTTTAACACAGACTTACGACAGCTGTAGTGCTAAGGTGATTGTAACTCCCATACTTTAACACAGACTTATGACTGCTGTAGCACTAAGTTGATCGTAACTCCCATACTTTAACACAGACTTATGACTGCTGTAGCACTAAGTTGATCGTAACTCCCATACTTTAACACAGACTTACGACAGTCGTAGCTAAGGTGATTGTAACTCCCATACTTTAACACAGACTTATGACAGTCGTAGCGCTAAGGTGATTGTAACTCCCATACTTTAACACAGACTTATGACAGTCGTAGTGCTAAGGTGATTGTAACTCCCATACTTTAACACAGACTTACGACTGCCGTAGCACTAAGTTGATCGTAACTCCCATACTTTAACACAGACTTACGACTGTCGTAGCACTAAGGTGATTGTAACTCCCATACTTTAACACAGACTTACGACAGTCGTAGTGCTAAGGTGATTGTAACTCCCATACTTTAACACAGACTTACGACAGTCGTAGTGCTAAGGTGATTGTAACTCCCATACTTTAACACAGACTTACGACAGTCGTAGTGCTAAGGTGATTGTAACTCCCATACTTTAACACAGACTTACTACTGTCGTAGTGCTAAGGTTGTTTTGTACAATGACACCCTGGCTTTGTGGGGTGTCCAGAACGGTGTCCTTAACATTTCATTTAATTTACGTGTATGACTTCATACCGGGCAGTAAACAAGTTCCTTTGTTACAATTTTGAGATCAGAGGAAGTGGGTAAGGTTTTATGCTGCTTTTAGCAATATTCTATCAATATCGCAGCTGGGGACACCAGAAATTGGTTTCTCACAGTAAACCAGTGTCAGAAATAGAACCGGGTTCTCCTGCGTGACGAGTGAGTGCTTAACCACTTGGTTACCCAACCATCCCTTCACAGTTCTTACAAGGCAAAGGGGTAGCATAGCGGTTGAAGTCTTCCCTCTAGACACATAAGGAACTGGTTCAGTTTCCCAAATGGGTCAGCATGTGAAGCCCATATCTGGGGTACTCATCCAAGATATTGTGGAATACTGTTTAAAGTGATGTAAAACTCAGGTCACTCATTATCTCACAGAGTTTGATCAAGAAAATACCACATGGTGAAACATTAACCCATACCCATTCCTTCAACTTGATGACAACGGCCCGGGTAATGGTTGAATACATGCTTGGTAAACCCCATCAGGAAACTGAAATAAACAACATAAGCAACAAACAAACAACATAAACAACATTGCAATAAATGTCAGAATTTCACTATGGCCATTTTTCATTCATGGAGACCTCCAGGATCAATTTAGGTTCTACATTTGCCAAACCCTGAGATGTTCATTAAGAAGTAATGGGAGTCTGAAGCAGTAAAGCATATGAGGCTGACTATGGTACCAATGTTAAAGACTAAAACATTTGTGTGATGTTCTCTGCTTTTTACAGTCAGTGATTTCCCTGTTTGAACCAAAGCTGGGGAACAAACACCCTCCATTATCTCCAGGGTATACGTTACGATCACGATTACTCTCCACTATACCCTGGATGCATCCACGGCTTGGGGCTTGATGCATCGAGGATGAGGAAAGAACAACGACAGTCCGAAGATTGTTTTAGTTTGAACTATGCATCAATAAATAATCAGTACATTCTTCAATCTTATTAATTTCCATTTTTCCATCATTGTGACTTTATTATTGTCTCCAGTGGTACTTGCAGTTGATATTACTTGCATCCATTCTTAATTGTCCTGTGTACAGGAGCCAATATTTTGCGTCCCGTAAAACCCTGGGAATCCATCTCTGTGTTATCATGTTTGGAATGTTCAGCAGTTGGAAGACTGCTCGGTCTTCATGAATTTATGATTAGATGTACATCCATATCACCCTCAGTACCAAAACCCTTGCCTCACATCAGGTAATTGTCCTTATAAATACAAGCAAATACAATACCAGTGTACCTTCCCTTCCTTCTTGTCATTACAGTGCATAAATAATTGTTTGAGTATGCTTGTATTTTCATCATTTTCCATGTGTATATATGGTTTCATTTAATAAACATCACCACAAGTATTGATGCTAAATAAAAGATTCTGAAGTGTGTCCTTCAGGAGTCAAGAACTTATTACACAGTGCCAGCGCCAGAAAATAGAATAAAAGGAAACTTTGGACCTTGGAGGACATGGTTACCATATTCATAGAGATAATATGATGCAGAAAGATAAAGAAGAAATACTCACTATATCTTGACACAATGTTGAAACAGCAACACAAGCAAGCTGATGACTATTATCTTTACGTACATCTTGAATCTGAAACATATTTCTGATAACTGAGAATGACTGAAGGAATGACTATATACATATATATAGATCAAGAGGTTTAATGACTGGTCGTCATTTTCTAGATATATTAGTTGGTGAGTGGGCTGCTTGACTGGTCACTATATACAGGTATTAAAATGTGTAGATGGGGATGCACGCTCAAGCATGATGACTTGGTGGTTCATTCTCAGGTCGTGGACAACCTGAAATTTTGCATTCGCAGGACGTGGACAGACGGTGCACCTTTGATGTCCTCGGTTGTTTTTGTAAGGGATTAACTGATTGGGAAGTGTTAAAATGTGAACTGTTATCCAGAATTGTTAAGGTTTCGTGAACTCTGTTCACTCTGGTAAGCGTGTGACTGATAGGTGAGTGAGTTCACTCAGAAATTGTTTGATTTAAACATATTTTTATTCCTGAAGAATCTGGTTTGGTAAACGAGCAGAACTTTGCTTATATCCATACCTCACCAGTACATACATCATTTAAACAAAATACACAAGAACTGGATACACAAAACGACAAATTAAATCATATATGTGCATTGTAGATGCTTATAAACCTTGAGCCTGCAGTTACACTTCATTGATTGTTTACATATATTAGTCTAGAATAATTTATCAAATTGTTTAGGCTTAAAGATGTATTGATGCAGGGACTCTATTATGTTCTTATTGACATCGTTGTTTGCCGGAGGTATTCCGTATAACACAGTTTGGAGATTGTGGCCATTTACATAGAAGTAGGTATTATTTCTAATAGCAGTGTATAACTTATATGTAAAAAGATAATGAACAGTATCTTCATTGTGGTATTCACAAGCACATTCAGGGTTGTTACAAATGTGTCTATTTACTTCATCCACATTCAAATCACTACAGCCCAGCTTAAGTCGACAGTGTACGATCTGACAGAATCGAGTGCCATAATTCAGATCTAGATAATTATTTGATTCATCATTTTTAAGCAGAGATTTGAATTCACCGATTGAATTAGTGAATACGAAATTATCAGGTAATTAATTCCAAATTGTAATTGTGTCAGGTTGGAACGATTGTTCATATATTTTCGTCCTACAATTTATTGTTTCCAGCTTAGATTTATTACAGAGATTATATTGACTGTATTCAGAGACAAATTTAGGAACAAGGTCACAGAGGTAGTCAGATTGGACCGTGGGGACATCAGCGTCATTGTGTTTGCCGACACAGAGTCTTTTTTATTAAAATTTAAAAAAAAGAAACTTGTTTCGTTTCCTTGTAATTTCACAATCTAGTATTGCCCGAAGTCTTGCAATCACACACTCTGTCTATTGTCTGGCGTTAATTAGCTCAGTAACCCATTCGCACAAAGTGGACACTTTTTTCTGGACTTTGTTTTTACACGACACAGGGTGTCCACATCCCGAGAATACCCCGACTTGGTATAACACCAGACATTTTGGCAAAGTTATGATTTTTATTTGTTTTGACACCACACACTCCAACTTAGTGATATCTTGGTTTTTCACCACACCCTTCAGATAAGTAATGACTATGTGTTATTATGCACCCTCTTGTAAGTACTTAGCATAATACCTCTCACTCAGCAATGACTTAGCATTACACAACACGCCCTGGCTCAGCAAGGACTTAGTATTACACCATGCACTCTGAATCAGCAATGACTTAGCATTACACCATGCACTCTGACTCAGCAAGGACTTAGCATTACACCATGCACTCTGTCTCAGCAATGACTTAGCATTACACCATGCACTCTGGCTCAGCAATGACTTAGCATTACACCATGCACTCTGACTCAGCAATGACTTAGCATTACACCATGCGCTCTGACTCAGCAAGGACTTGGCATTACACCGTGCACTCTGGCTCAGCAATGACTTAGCATTACACCATGCACTCTGATTCAGCAATGACTTACCATTACACCATGCACTCTGACTCAGCAATGACTTAGCATTACACCATGCACTCTGTCTCAGCAATGACTTAGCATTACACCATGCACTCTGGCTCAGCAATGACTTAGCATTACACCATGCACTCTGATTCAGCAATGACTTACTCACTTAGCATTACACAACACGCTCTGACTCAGCAGTGACTTAGCATTACACCATGCACTCTGACTCAGCAATGACTTAGCATTACACCGTGCACTCTGGCTCAGCAATGACTTAGCATTACACCATGCACTCTGATTCAGCAATGACTTACTCACTTAGCATTACACAACACGCTCTGACTCAGCAGTGACTTAGCATTACACCATGCACTCTGACTCAGCAATGACTTAGCATCAGATAGGGGATGCAGGGGTGCGCAACCCCCTTATTGTCCTGAAAGTTTATTAAATCTTGTGAAAACGGGTGAAAATGAACTAGCTTTTGAAATAAAAATATATCAGATTTACAGGTCCAGCATAACAAAGTGTATCTATTTCACTATGCCATGATAAGTCTAGACAGGAATGCTAGCTCTGTTAGTCACTAGTGCTGTAATAGATACTGTACACTGATAAAATTGTAAGCATAAACTTTCATTAACGGTTGTGTACCATTCAATATTCAGTGAAGTGTACATATTACAGTAAGGCTGAAGGGGCTGTTGTCGACACCGGTACTACAACTACAAACAACTTTGGTAAAATTTTTGCGGAATATAAACTCATTCCGGTACTGGGTAGTTTTCTATATTTTTACTTTGTTTTGGGCACATTTTTGTATACTGACACATACTGGGGATACATACATGTGAGTGAATGAGTTTAATTTCTTGCCGCACTCAGCAATATTCCAGCCATATGGTGGCAGTCTGTAAATAATCGAGTCTGGAACAGAATCCAGTGATCAACTGCATGAGCATAGATCTACACAACTGGGAACCGATGACATGTGTCAACCAAGCCAGTGAGCCCAACCCCGATCCGGTTAGTTGCCTCTTACAACAAGCAAGTGTTACGGAAGATCAATTCTAACCCGGATCTTCACAGTTACATACATGCAATAGCTATACAGACAAAACCTTCAGCAATTAAGGCATTCGTGACCAACTCTTGTTATTCCGGGACAAGCCGAACAGCGACTCGAGCCCCTCTGGAAGGATTTCACATTGGCGTATGTACATCGGAACTACTTCAAACAGGAACGATAACTCTATCCCTGTTTGATTCCACTGGTACTTAATATCACCGAAGCACCTGTACATTGTATTGCTGTTTTGGTTTTTGCTTCTTCATTTTAAGGAATTAAACATCTTTGATACAACTAAAAGAAGGAGAAAAGACATATTTGTTTAAGACATATTCTAACGTAATTATTACCAGCTGTTCACCTTATATTTCCAATTACATTTCTAAATAGGGTTTAATAGTCACAAATGGGATTTGTTTTATTGAATATGCAAACAAGAGTATTAAAACTTCAGCTAAATTAAATCCCAAAGCAGAAACTCAAAATTGTCTTTAAGATATTTCTCAAACTGAACATTCATGTAATGTTGCTGTCATACCCCAAGAGGAATTTTAAATGAATTTGCTGAAAAATATATGAATGACCCCAAAAAGTCACACTAACCTATTCCCACAGATGTGAAATATATGCCCAATGTTAAAGGTCACATGCAACCAAAAAATCAAACATAATTAAAACACAATTATAAGCGTATAATCGCAGATCAAAAGTGCAATATTTTGTACTTTGGTTTACCTCCTTCGAAACGAAGCAGCCGGGATACCGAACCCAGTCAGAGCGGGTGGGTGTGCACTCAAGTGTAACGGCTGGTTCATTTGCAGATGCCGCCCTCGCAGCTCATTGTGTGTGTATATATAGAGATGTTGGGTTTTGTAAATACATGCTCATTTTTTGTGTATAACATTTTGCAATCAACAGACATCATAAAATGTCATGTGTTCAAGTATCACACCTGCCTGTCTGTGTAATTACATAATGTGACAGAGACCGAACTCTCTCATAAAGAGGCCATAAATCAATGCATTTTGTTTATGGTGTACAGCCTGATTGGTGTTAAGTTCAAATTGCATGTGGTCAGTGATAGCAGCTGTGTATTGAATATTGTCATTAGCAGACAGGCAGGCAGACACATAGGTGTCAATAAAACAAGACATTGAGTTTTGTCTGTGACAACGACATATCTATATCACAGTTAGAAATTCTGTCAACGCTAAATAATGGCATTGCTTTTAAGTATCGAACTGAGAAAGTGACTCGGTAAGAAGAACGTGTGGTGAAATTGACAAATGAAATTATATAAACAGTTAATTTACTGTCATAACATATAAAAAGCTCGCGCCTGTGAGATATCAACAAAACATTAGAAAAATAGCTCACACCAAAGCCTTCACCGAGTATTCACCGGACAACCCGCTTCCAAGTTGCACAAACCTATTTCACTGCGCACGTGCTATGAGCGCAGCCCAGCTGTTGAAACCCGTTTTCCCCAGACTTTTCTGGGGAAAATTAGTGAAACGTTTGAACTCCGATTTCGCGCGTTTTTTTTCATCGCGTTATATTTCAACTTTATAAGTTGAATTTGCATTTTTGACGATTTGTTTCGGTATGTCCATACCGAAAGGTATCAGAATCTGCAAAGTTGTGTTTTACGTTGCATGTGACCTTTAAAGATTAACGTTGATTAGTTACATACAGATATGATAATTTTTGAAACTCGAAGCGATTTATAATTACATTACCTAAAACTGTTGGAAGCGCACGTACAGTCACCACAACAAGCCCAAGATCATCAGAAATACGCTCAGTTGGACCATTGATAGCCATTATATCAACAAACGCACGTGCGTGGATTTGAATCTCTCACCTTCCATGGCAATATCCTTACTAAAAACTACATGAGAGCCAAAACAATCATGTTACCTACATTCCTTGTACTTTCAACATGATGATACATATTTTTCAAGATTTTTTAAACAATGACATAATGTCATAAATGGTTTAAGTATTTGGGATTATTTTTATCCAAGCACCGCCTTCATTATGCGCGTTCTGATTGGTTTGTCGTATTTTCGCACATAACAAGCATCGAGACAGGGACGAGTCTTCCATTCGTGACCAACTCGTGTTATTCCAGGACAAGCCGAATAGCGACTCATGCCCCTCTGGAAGGATTTTATATTGGCGCATGAACATCAGAACTACTTTAAACAAGAACGATAACTCTATCCCTGTTTGATTTCAATGTTTGTTAATATCACCGAAGCACCTGTACATTGTATTGCTAGGTTGTTATTTTTGGGTATTTTTCACTTATTTATTTTAAAGAATTAGACCTCTTTGATACAACTAAAAGAAGGAGAAAAACATATTTGTTAAAGACATATTCTAATGTAATTATTACCAGCTGTTCACCTTATATTTCCAATTATGTTCATTTTCTAAATAGGGTTTAATAATCATAAATGGGAATTGTTTTATTGAATGTACAAATAAAATAGTATTTTTTCAGCTACATTAAATCCCAAAGCAGATACTCAAAAATGACTTTAAAATATTTCTCAAACTGAACATTTGTGTAACCTACTGTCACACACCTGGTGGAATTTTAAATGAATTTGCTGAAAAAAATATGAATGACCAAAAAACAGTCAGACTAAAATATCCCCACAGATGTGAAATATAAGCCCAATGTTAAAGATTAAGGTTGATTAGTTACATACAAATACGATATTATTGTTTTGAAACTCGTAGCGATTATAATAACATTTCCTACAATTCGTCGTCGAGGCGCATGTACAATCTCCATAACAAGCCATTAGATCGTCAGAAATACACTCAGTTGGACCCATGAAAGCAGTGATGTCAACAAACGCACATGCGTGTATTTGAATCTCACACCATCATTCACATGATTCTTATTAAAAACTTCATAATAGGCAACAAAATCTTGTTAGCTACGTTCTTTGTACTTTCAATATGACGATATATAATTTTCATGATTTTTAAAATAAATTACATAATGCCATAAACAATTTAAGTACTCGGGATTATTTTTATCAAAGCATCGCACTCATTTGCGCGCGTTCTTGGAGGTTACGGAAAGGGGTGAGTGGTGACGAATGCGAGTCTTCTTGGAGTTTATGGAAAGGGGCGAGTGGTGACGAATGCAATTAAGGGTGCAACATGAATACACATACAGAAGAAACAAATTTATCCTGGGTTCAGTTGTATATATACTGATATATCAGTCATAGCAAGTTTTGATCAGGCCCTAACGTAGTTCATATGAATAAACTCGTATTCCAGCCTAGGCCTACATCGAGCACACCTTGTTATGTTGCAAAGTCGTCTAGTTATATGCTGGACTAGCCCTAACGTAGGTGTGTCAAGTGCTACTTTGGACCAACATGGAAACTGCTGAGCAGCCAGTGGCCGCCATAGCCTATGGTCTTACCGTCAACACATTCTACCCCTTATCGCGTGTCTTGACTGTAGAACCCCATCACAGCTCTCAGCTACCGGTGGATCGTTAACATTAGCGATCAGTGAAGCGACAGCTGTAGCCTTTGCAACAATACAGTCCTGGCAAACAGCATTGTTACTAAATGTGTAAGTGCATCGCCAGCATGCACTAGAGCGGTTAGTTTATGCAGAGTCCTGTCCCAACAGCAGAGCGGATGAAGAATTTTAAGTGAAATTATGTCTCTACTGAAAAGAAGCAATATTCAGTGGAGAATATATATCGAACAGAGCCAATGTTCAATGCAGAAAACTGTAGTCTACATATCACAACGTCTGAACGACAAACGTCAGTTCTGGTCGCTATAGAGGTTACCTTCTCTGCCCAGTTGAACAGTGAGATAAGACTTCGGCTGCACAACAACAAAGGGAGGTCACTCTAATGTTTTGAGGGAAATGCCGGTTAAAAAAAGTCTGGCGGGGCTCAGCCAAGTATGGGTTCTGATCCATTATGAGTGGTAACTTGTTTCACTTTTGTATGTATTTGACTGAGTACGTGAGAAGTATCATATAACGGAAGGCCACACGCAGCTCTAAACATTTTCAGACAGTTTATTGTTACACGTACTCGAATTTGTACGTGCAGCAAATGAACGATTATTTAGTGTCTGAACCATATTATAGTACTAAGACCCCGCCAGTGACAGTATACCTTGATGCCAGTTTTAGGGTTACAAGCCCCTGTGGTTGTGAGAAAACAGCTATTTGTACTTCCATGATTCCCTTCCGCCGCGTTATATAAAAACATGATTCACGGAAGTGAACGGGCTGGACACATGGGTGAATACCTAATTAACCCTTATCCCACGAAGCTTTCTTCATATCCATTAACGCCAAGTGGGCCTGTGAGGCCCGGTCACCCCCTTTTGATTTATATCAAAGGACCTGACAGGATATTACGTTCTTCTTCACTATCACTAACACTTTCTTCAAAGGGAGGTTCGAACTCAGAATCTGATCCACTGTCAGAAGGTACTGCATCAGCACCACTACCATCATCATCTGCAGCAGCAGGTTGGAGTAAAACATCGCGAAAATTGCTTCTCAAACTTCTTTAAGTGGCATTTAGAAGCTGGTATGGTGTAACGGAACACTTTTATGGATAGACAACTTCTTTATTTCAGTGGATGCGACGTTTCGGTGTAGATCCTAGCACCGTTATCTAGCAAATGATACACAGCATCTGCACAAGGAGAAATATATACATGACGGGTATTTGGGTTTATACAATAGAAGAGGTTGATGTGTGTTGACATGAGGCTTGTTGTGATAAGAAATGATTGAAGCCAGTAGACAAATGATGGGTTATTCTTGATTAGTTAATCGTAAGCTTTAGGGATGTAATAACGTTGATCTCTGTTGATTGTCGGGTTGAGCCGTTTGATGTTTATTGCCTCTAAGAGTTCTCTTATCCCAAGGCCTACCTATGGGATCACATCTCTCCCCCATCATCAGCGAGATCTACATGACAGAACTCGAAGACAATGCCCTCCTCACCTCACCCGTCACACTAATATGCTGTTTCCGGAAAGTAGATGACACAGAAAGACCCCACCACCTTGCTTCCACGAGACCACAAAACCCTCCTGTAAGAACTTAGGGACAAAACGAGATAGGTCCGACTCTACACAAGCAGCTCACAGTTCCCCATCTTAGACTACCCTACGCCCGAGGTCCACAAAGACCCCATCAAAGCCCGTCTCCAAGTCTGTTCCAGGACCATAGTCCATTACAATACCACCAAGCATCTCGCCCGCCTTCTCGCCCCTCTAGGTAAATTAGCTAAATCCTTTATCTCGGACTCTAACGAATTCTGCAACAAGGTCAGCACCATCACCCAGCCAGGCAAAATAATTAGTTATGATGTGGTTGATCTATTCACCAATGTACGAAGAGACGAAGCCCTAGCCATCATTAGAAGAAAGGTTGAAGACATCCGCGCTAAACCTAAACACCCATCTCACAGTAGAAAGCATAATCCGCCTCCTTCATTCCTGTATAAGTTCAACATACTTCACCCGGTCTGATAAAATCTACCAACAAACCCACGGTCTACCTATGGGATCACCTCTCTCCCCCATCATCACCGAGATCTACATGACAGAACCCGAAGACAAGACCCTCCTCACCTTACCCGTCACACCAATATGCTGGTTCCGGAAAGAAGACGACACTTTTGTCATAATCAACCCCATCGATGATCCCATCTCCTTTCTAAAACACCTTAATGCCCAACATCCACGCATGAAATTCGACGTCCAAGTAAAAAAATACAACAGCAAACTCTAAACATCTGTCTACAGGAAACCAACCCGCACAGACCAATATCTTCACTTCTCATCTAATCACCCACTGCAAGTCAAGAGAGGTATAATCGCCACCCTAGCCAGAAGAAGCAAAGAACATCAGTTCCACAACCCAAGGCCTTGAAGTCGAGTTAGAACACCTTCACCATGTCTTCATAAACCTTAATCAGTACCCAGCTAATCTAGTCAACAGAACCATCAAGACCACCCTCAACCCAAAAGACAAACCACCACGTCAACAATCATCCCCGTTCATCACCAGTATACCATATGTCGATACAACCAGCCACCATATCCGCAGATTACTAAAGAAGCAAGCCAACATAGATGCTGTGTACCAGAGAGGAACATCAATTCAGCATATCCTACAAGCCAACAGTAAACCAGCTACAAGCAACAAAGAAGACCCTTCAGGCGTTGTCTACTACATTCAATGCAAATGCGGAGACTCGTACATATAAACCCAAATACCCTTCATGAATATAATGCTCCTTGTGCATATGTTGTGTATCATTTGCTTGATAACAGTGTTAGGATCTACACAGAAACGTCGCATCCACTGCAGTAAAGAATTTGTCTATTCATAAAAAGTGTTCCTCTTCTCAAACCTGCTCGACGATTCATCTTTGACTGACAGTTACTATGCAATGTATTCATAAGGAAGCTTTATCAAGTGGCGTTGACTGGAAGCTGACGGGGGTGACCGGGCCTCAGAGGCCCGGCAAAGCAGTTAATGCAATACTATTTGCTTTTTAAAATTAATGGTAATTATTTCAAAATAATTAAACTGAAACTTTTACACAGCAATCAGTATTGTAATTTTCAGGAATACATTGAATACTGAACATTTATATAAAGAAATGAAGTTTTGGCATACCATTAAAGTGCACTTCGGGCCTCAAATGACCCACTTGGTGGGATAAGGGTTAAGTATTATAATTAATACTGTTTCATTAATTTAACGAACGGCGGAGAAATTTTGGAAATACCGATAAAATATGGCGATAACTGTTCGGCTGCCAGTAGAAGTATTTTATGTCTGTTTCCTAATTTGACATAGATATGTTTCATACTTTGTGTGTGTGTGTGTGTGTGTGTGTGTGTGTTTTGTTTTTTTATTCCATTTCTTACATATATGCATATACAAGGCAGACATAAAATCTGGAAAATGTACATTTCAGTGATCAATAATTCAGTCATGTTATGCACGTCATGGATAAGTGTGATGAATACGTAAAAGTTTTAACAGATCAATTCAATTTCACTTAAATGGCACTATAGAAAATTAAAGTGATTGCTGACAACACTGTGATTGATAATTTTATGAGCGCTTCAAAGGATAATTCAGGCAGTTGTTTGATAGTTAACATCGCACTCCAGTTGGCATCCGGCGTTCTGAAAATATAATCTAGTCTGTATCCGGCGGTCGACCCAGTGATCGATGCTGTGAGCAACGTGACACATCTTCGGTGTACAGTGACACGCAATCAAGCCATCTATTATCACGCTGACGATTAAGTTGCCTGATTCGCCTCTTACGTTTCGGGGAAGGTGGAGTAGCCCACTGGTTATAAAGCGTTCGCTCGCTGCGTCGAAGACCCGGCGTTCGATTCCCCACTTGGGTAAAATGTGTATAGCCCATTTGCTGGGATATAGCTGAAAGAGATTTCCGAAAGTAATCTGGATTTTTATAGCCAGACAGTGCATGCTCTTTGCTGCACAATTTCAACTGGAAGGTGATTTCTGTTGCGTTGTGGCGATGCCTTTTTAATCCTTGTAAGAAATCTCATCAACATCAACATTTTCAGGTCAAGTCGAATTTTCACTTGTACAATTGTGTAAAATCATGTTATGAACACTTTTGTTACATATTTTGACGATTGTTTGAACGCAATAGGTAATTAATAGATTTTTGAAAATACAATACGTCTATGCGTTTCTTTTTGGGGATAGTATATTTGATGTTGGAATGAAGCTAGGACACAAAATCCCCCCTTTGAATCGTTATAACTATATATGCCTCATTCCGGATAATGATTTAATATGTATGTTTCCTTCTTTCCACTGCAAAATCCCAGCCGCATCATTAAATGGACGTTAAAGGATGCTACATGTTGTTATCCTGCCTTATGCTAGGTAAGGGACCGTTCATAATTTATGGCCGGGGTGGAGCGGGGGTGTTGATGATTTTTATGGAGAAGCATATGTACAATGTTAATGGACCCCCATGTATGTACAAAGTGACATCCCCTGCATGTGATGTACAAAATGAACGACATCCCTCCCCTTCCCATAATTTCTAAGCATATTATTTTAATATTTTGAGTACAAAATTGCTGGACCCCACCCACCCCACCCCACCCCCAGTCAATGTGTACAAAGTTGATGGCCCCTTCCTCCCCAGAACAAACTGGGTGACCCCCTTAAAATCATCATTTATTTCACCCCACCCCCACCCACCATCCCTAAATTATGAATGGTCCCTACAGGGGTTAAAACAGGGAAGGGACGGGTCGGCCCCGATTCAGCATACTGTTTCTGTGTGGGTGTCATAGCATGAAGCGCATTAGCCTGGGCGCTCACACACTTGCCTATTTCACCCCACCCCACCCCACCTCAGCTCACATCACTCCTGTTACATTAACCCGATCCCGTTAGTGGCCTCTTACGACAAGCATGGGTTACTGAAGATCAATTCTAACCCGGACCTTCACGGGTCTCGGTATCTTAGTAATTAGGTACAACGATAACACAAAATTACCCCATAACGGTAAGTCTTGCATATCCACGCATAAAGTGTGAGCGTACTTGGACCTACCTTTGCGCCTGAATCCTCCAGTGTGCATTTAGCAATACACGTACCCTCCTACAATGACTGTTTCCGTTAGTATGGGTTGAATTCAGTGGGCGTTTGATCGTCGGTGTTTACTACAAGCACACACTACACATTCATACAGAGAGACCTTACAAAAGACACCAATCCAATCTGGTGACCGACAGCTGTCACATTCATACAGAGAGACCTTACAAAAGACACCAGTCCAATCTGGTGACCCACAGCT